CCATGTGTATCGAAAATGTTTATCGTTTACCGGAAACATCGACGCTGCGCGTTGAGGAAAAGTCATAAGCAACGTAAAATATCAGGTAGTAAATACCTTAAGTGTCCACGATAAGCATACACCTACCTTTATAGTAGTGCACGTTATCGTCATCTTTTGTGACAAAGAAAGTTGTAGTTGGAACCTGAGCGAATTCAATTTTTAAATAGATTTTCGTGGAAAGCGACTTGTATCATGCTTAGTAGGAAGTGTTTATGTTTGTGCCAAGTGGTTACCCTATTCAGGTTCAAATGAAATCTTTATTTTTTAAGATGATTCATATTTAAGCGGTAATTTGTTATTGACAATAAAAGAAATGTCTTACAATTTTTCTTCTCTGTGTTCTGGATTAATTCAAGATTAATCACGAATTGGTAATATTTTAAATAATCCAGAAGATAGATTTTCAATTACCTTATTATTTCCAGCCTTAAATTCAAATATTTACTTTATTATTTCACTCTAGGAAGGTTTTACACTATTTTTCTTGTTAACATTATTGTTTCCTATAGCAGTAATGGTAAATCAATTATTTTCTCATAAAACGACAAGAAAATGTCAAGGAAAATAATGTTGTTTAATAAAAAAACTAATTTTATTTGTACAAGAATTAATTTTATCATCATCTAGCTACCTTCAGTCTTTATTTAGATTTTTAACTTTAAACTGTCGTTTATTATGTTGACAATTGAAACTGATGTACGATAAGCATTTCGAAAGTGTTCAGAAGTTTAGTTGGAGGGAATCTATTCGATCTTCATGCAGGAACATGAACTTGTAAACCTTCACGAAACGTGACTCATACATGACTACTTCTTTTTCCTACCTAAACTCGAATCGGGCTATTTTTGAAGTACGCAGTCAGTTCGTAGTAAACAGAGTGTAATAGAAACACATTCAACAGATAAATATTTGCAAAATAAATCGAACCACAAACGCATTTGATGTTTAACTTTTAAATTTAAACTCTCTTTGTTTCCTTGATTTAACCAACGATTATCTTATCATAAAGTCCTTTTGTATTGCATTGTGTTTATGTCATTATCTTACGCATGCATCGTTTATGCCTCGCTTTTACTTTCCTGCCATGCTCGTTCAACTGCGTTAATAGTAAGTAACTATATTTCAATTCACCATACCCCGTGGGCTTGGCTCTAACTCTTGCTAGAGGATCTGCGCTAGACTAGAGGTAGCACCGCCGACGACGCCTCGCTTACTTAACTTAACGCACACTTTCGAGTCAGTCGCGCCGCGAGTGCGCCAACGAGCGGTGGCACTCCCTCTGCTGCTGACGACGACGGCTATGACTTCTTGTGTGATAAAAATACAACAACGTGAGAACAAAGGGTTTCGAGTTGGCGTAGTAGTGATTTAAACACAATTGTTCACATCTATCTGAATTGGAATAACGCATAAGTCATGTGTGTGTTTTAACTCTAGTCATACATCTATGAATTCAAGTGTGCAAAGTGCAATCTTGTATCTTGTGACTCAAAAAACGTGAAGGAATACAGAAATACGAAACTTGTGATTTTATTTCAGTGGTTAGATAAAAATTGCTTGCTCTTCGTGTACGAATCGTTGTTGATTTATTTTTGTGGTATCAGTATTGCGCCTGTGTTCGCTTGATACGCGTTGTGTTTTCGGTGTAATTCAATGTAATATAATATAACATTCGGTTGTCCGTAATCGCAGTCGCTTGGCCGCTGTCTGCCCGAGCAGATCACATTACGCGCTGCCACCAAAGCACAAACGAAATCATCTTTAGCAACAATGAACCACAATAACTGTGCGGAGTGTGTCTTCACTGGTGCGCCTTTAAATATTTTGCACAATCTGTTATTCCACACGTTTTATAAAACAGTTAATTAAAACGAAAATTACCACATCATCGCGCAACGAATAGAGCCGGTTTGCAGCTCTTGGAGAATAACATAATATCTAGTGAATTGTGGCATTGTGGAATTGTGAATCGAAACGTTAGGATGCAGTTCACTCTGTTGAATTTATTTGCGTAAGTGAGAGTCAAATAAATATTCTAAGGATTTTATGTTGTTATTCATACAATGGGCAATGAGTAAAAGTACTGTAGATTTACTCTTCTTTTTAAGCCTTCAATGAGTTTTTATTTTATTTTATTGCTTCATAGATAGCGGGCGCGGGTTTCAACAGTTAAGATTTTACTGTTTGTTACTTTTATTCTATTAAAAATAAATAAAAGTCTTTGGTGCAGTTATATTTTGAATAGTAATAATAAAATTAATCTTTTTATTACCTTTTTCTTGCAATTTTATGATTTTTTAAAGAAAATTCAACTTTAATTGTTTATAACTTTGCGTATAATTATAAAATATGAAATATTCTTTATCAGATAGATGTTGAATTTAGTTTTCAATCCATGTGTCGATTTTTAAAAGTTTTTCACCAATAGTTTTGAAGTTATTTGCATTTAACACTCCATATAACATTGAGAGTCTACTAATCTATATTTTAACATGACAGGGCAACAATTACAATTGCCATCGTATTATTTATGTATTTGGAGCGAAATGTTAAGTTAGCGCACTTGTACAATTTTAACGGGCCTGCAAACAATTCCTTACACACTGAGTCACTCAACTCAGTTTATAAATTTAAGGTTTTTGTTTCAAAAACATTTCTCGCACTTATGGATTTCAGTTACCTTATTTATTTGGTAATCATGACATCATGTTGAAATCTTTGTTCTAGTTTCGCAGGATTCGCACGTAATTTATGTTTTGTTTCAATCGTTTTTAAACAATGTTTCAGTGCGATGTGTGTTATATAAAACCGTGTTAATTATACACGTGCAACTGAAATTTGGTCAGTTGCTTACAAAATAAACTTTAAATTTATGAATTTCGAAACAAATTTTATGCTTACAATGTTGTAGAAATATTATATTTAAATATTTAATTGCATCCCGGGCCCGGTGAAGTTTGATAATAGAATTGTTATAATAAATTTGCATTTGTTGCAATGTTATGGTCCGTTTACTTGCGTATTCATTTAATATTCAATTCTTTTTTTGTAATTTCAACCATGGATTATTTTCATGCCGCTTAAACATTCCCATACTTGATATTTGGATATTCTGTTGTTGAAATAGTGTAGAAAGGTGCAAAGCGTTTAATTTTTGGATACAATAAAGTTTCACTTTTGTTTTCATGCAAAATTAACTCGAAACGAAAGTATAGGTATCAATAAAATACGTCTACACTAGTCATCGAAGATTATTACCATGAACTTTGAACTCTGCACTGTACACTTAATTTTTGTTGATAATTTCGGTTTTATCAGCGAAGAATATTTCATAAATTATTTTCGAATGTTTTGAATTTTTGTTTTATCTCGAATGCCCACATCCTACATCGTGCGTGCTGATGAATGTCGTGTACTTTAGTCCTAAGTTATTATATTAATGAGGTTTATAAGACGGCACGACACGATTTTAACGAATGTTTGTAATATTATTTAGATATTACTTTAGTAGATTGTGAATGTTATCAATATAGTGCTCGTAGTTGCGAACAAGTTGAATGCACTCGTTTATAGTTTAAAAATTGCGTTGATTTACTGTTTATTATGTATTTATTAGCAATATATTCGTATGACTACAAATGGCGAATTCGATATGGTTGAATAACTTACGGTTATTTGCATAGTTTGTTGATTTATGCACATAACTGGTCGGTTTCGTTGGTGTGTAACCAATCGAGCATAACATTCCAAAAAAGACACTTTCCGGTTAGGTGTCACAAGCGAATCGTGAATTTTGTTCATTGAGTTGTAAGTTCACTTTCTTATTCTTGATATAGTGTAGTTACTGCATTGGCAGTTTTATTAATTAGGAGTTGTATTTACAGGAAATATCCATTTAAAAATCGTCAAAGTGAAAAGTGAAATTTTGTTGGTTTTGTTGTGCTAGGAATATTTTAGTGTTTTATTTGAATCAGCAGTGAAATTTAAAAAATAGCATTGGAATAAAAATAAAATTTTACTGTTTGGTCAGTAGAGGATATTTTAGTGTTAATTTATCTTTTGTGAAATATTAACTGCTATTATTTTAGTAGTGTAGATAATAAATAATATTTCACTCGCTGAAAAAAATGTGGATGTGTACTTGAACACTTTACGTGACGCACTCAATAAATATTTATCGTAATTTATTTGCATATTTTATTTCAACAAGCAAGCAAATCACAAAAGAGTTATACAATCATTTTCTTGAATCTACAGGAAAATTAACTTGCATATTAAATGCTGTACAAGCTGCTAATAAGCAAATTGCTTATAAGTTTTAACAATTTGTTTTGATTTTCAATTGACACAAGATCACACATTATACAGTGGTGTGTCACGATTACTTCCTGAAATAATACCGGCTGATTAATGCTTGAATACTCTGAATCATGTACATTAAAAATGCAAATTGTATTTGTTGCAAAATTGTTTGGATATTTATAAAATTTATTTATCCAACTTTTCACTGCTAGACTTTTGAAATTAATATTTATTTATTTAACAGTCTGGAAGTATATTTTGAGTTATATTATTATAAATGTTGTTGGCTGCAGTTGATAAAATATACTCTGTCGAAGCCACGGATAATAACGTAATTGCGGCTTACGTCTGCGACAAACATGAATTTATTAAACGATGTGAAATGTAATTTGTTTATGAATGGGTGCTAATGAACCGATTACTCACCGCCTGCACGCTTAAATGTTCACTTGCTTTACTTGAAGCTTAATTCGAGCTTGTTTCAAAATAGCGACACGCTCAAGTTGATCAATTTTGGCGAATTAAACACGAAATACGAATATTGCGTCTTTTATTTATTTTAAAAACAATGAAACAGCTGAGTTTTTAACTTGCTTTAAGAATTATGTTTTTTCGTTATGAATTGCTGTAATTATTATTAGAATTATTGGTTTTAGATTGGGTAGTATGGATAGCTTGCACGTGTCGGGGCAGCAACAATCCAACAGCAAGGCGTCCAGCAGGAGCACATCGCCTTGCCGGATGCGCGCCACTGACCGATCGGAACGAAGCGAACGTCCTGCCGACCACCAACCCTCGCAGCAACAGCCACAACAGCCTCATCAGCCACATCATACGAAATCGTTGAGTCACGGATCGGCCGACAGCAATAAGGTATATTACTCAGCGCACATATGTCACCGAACCTAAATATAATCCTCCGAACATTAATCCTGCGCAACACTACCCCAAGGCGTCTGGTTTCCGTTTTTACGTTCTATATATAGGGGTATATGGTTAGGAACTTCCTAAAGTATTTCACTGCGTTTTTTGTTTCGTGTATTTTCAACCCTATTTTGTGAAAATTACACTTCTTCCAAATATATACTCTAAGCATGATATGGTAGCCAAAAATAGGTGTAACTAAAAGGGAAGTGATGTTTTTGGTGCGAAATATTCAAGGAAATGAATTGTCACGTGACGAAATTGAATTGAAATTGTTTTTGATAGTTTCGCTATGAAGTGTAGATGATATACGTGCGTAAAATCATTACTTTTCTCCGAAAAGTTAATAGAACTGTTGAAATTTCCTTTCCATCATAAAAAAGTAATGATTTCATTTGCTTATGTATGATTTCAAAAGATTTGTGATTGTAAGGAAATCGGTTAACACCCAACACACAAAACCAACATGCCTACATGTGAAACAGATCGATAAAAACTTAATTAGTATTTATTGCTCGAGGCGTGTGGGTAAATTGATGGAAAAAGGAAAGCTGTTAACAGTTTGATTAATGAAAGGAAAATTAATCGCGCTTGCTCATACACTCGAGTGAGTTTAAGAGTTCTTCAAGAAGGCTTGAAAATGATCCCGAAGCAAAAATCTGTTGAATTTAATTTTAGGTGCGAAATTTAATATTCCCGTCTTTCCTTAGATGTGGAATACTCGTATCTTATATACGTAGTGCTTTAATGTCTTTATCGATCTTGTAGAATCAAATCAAATTATTTCTGTAAATTAGTCTTCTATTTATATCAGGAATGCCAGATGTGCGGTGCGAGCTGAAACGTACATGGGTATAGAAATACATTTGTATTCGTCAAAAATTGCGTGATAGGTTAATTTATTCTTGACCTTAGTTCAAAACCCCCCAAAGGAATTAAACAGTATTTAAGGTAAAGCGGGTAATAATTTTTCGTGCTTTTATTTTTATTTCACATTTTATTGAAGGTATTTTTAATTATTTATTCGTACGCATTGCGGTGTTTTTTTATATTAATTATGATTAAATTTATGAATAAAAATAACATTTTTTTGTTTGGGTTCAGATTGAAATAATAGAACTGTTGCTATAGCAACACATTTAGTGATAATTGCAAAAATGATTTAATTTTCTGCGAAAATACGTAAATAATGATCAATTTATTAAATATTATTTGATTATTCATTTGGCAACAATCAATTAATTTCCAAAACATTTAATAGATAATTAATTATTTGATATTTATTTATATTTTACGCCAATGAATGCAAAATTAGGACGGATATAATGAATATATTGATTTATTTCACATTTTTGTTTGCTCTACAAAGATACGAATAAATTCCGTGTACGTAATTTTACAACTTATCATGCTGATGCGATGCTGGTTTATTGATATCGTAGTGAAGTCAAAGGCGATTTGATAGGTCATGACATGACGCTCTTTCAAGATTGTTCAAATTACTGAAACGCAGAATTCTTATCGTATATCATTATCGCCGCAGCTAATTTTAGGAATTTTATGATGTGATTGATGTGTGATGCGAAATATAAAATATTTACATGCTTTCAAATGTTACATCGACTTTTACATTCATTGCTTATCATTAGGCTCGTGTTTGAATCCATTAATTTTATCCTGAGCAATTTGAATAGAGACTGACTGCGACGACATGTTATCATATTGCGTTGAATCTACACGCGCTAATGAACCTTCCATTGAACTATTTGTTATCTTAATAAATACGCGATAAGGCACTCATTTTAGTGACAGTTTGTTTATTTGAAGACAATTTACACGAAGACACATCGTGTCTGATAAATTTAGAAACGCAATTAATCTATATATATAAAATTTGCGTGTCACAGTGTTTGTTTCCATACTCCTCCGAAACGGCTTTACCGATTTTTACCAAATTTTATATGCGTATTCAGTAGGTCTGAGAATCGGCTAACATCTATTTTTCATACCCCTAAGTGATAAGGGTTGTTCACCCTTAACTTTTTTTTAAATTTTTGGACAAATTCTTTTGTTTTTATTTTTTTTTATAATGTGGAATTAAAAAATACATACAACCCTAAATTTTTAGTTTTTTATCACCAACCCCTATTTCTTTATAGCCATTTTAGTAATTTAATCATTTTTCATCCCGCTCAAAGAAAATTTTTATATGCGTATTCAGTAGGTCTGAGAATCGGTAACTTCATATCTCTTAGTGATAAGGGTTGTTCACCCTTAATTTTTTTTAAATTTTGGTCGAAATTTTTTGTTTTTATTTTTTTAATGTGGCATTAAAATATACATACAACCCTAAATTTTTGGTTTCTTATCACCAACCCCTATTTTTTATAATAAGTAAGTTACTTTTTGTCTACACTAAAATTTATCTAGAAACTTGAAATAATTTATATGGCAAAACAACGTTTGCCCGGTTAACTAGTTATTACATAAAAATCAGGTTTATTTTAATCTATATTTTGATTATTTATATCTCAGAATTAACAAAATTTTGCGCACGCATGTTTACCCACAATGGAAACGAATAACGAAATGTACAAGCAAAGGTATGCGCCAAAAATGTAATTTAGTTCATGGTTAATGATCAAACGGACCTCTCGCACGCCTGCCAGACGAAAACATCAGGCACGAGCGAGCTAACGCACACGACACTTCATTTTTCAAGTTTATACATGCCAAAACGACGGTTTTAAGGATAACGATGTGCATAATGGTGTTGCAAAACCTAAACTTACTCATCACAGCACTGCGCTGACAATCAGCCAGTGTGCAGCATAAATAGTTACTATGCAATTAAAATAAAAGTATGTACATTGTATATGTGCGCAGTTGGATAACCAGCTAATACACTTGTCGTATAGAACAATGCATCTTTATTTATTTAAAAATAATTCTTTGTCCAGTTTTTATGAGTAGCTGTAAAGACAGTTCAATATGCTAGGTGTTGTGTTTAATGTATTTTTAGTTGCCTACGTTTAAGAATGGATGATTTTTGTTCGATGTGTAAATAAATTATTATCATATTCCTCGTAGCGGCGATTGTATCGGTTCTCATGATAAAATAATAATAAGATGCCTCGATAACCTTGGCTCGACATAATTTTCCTTCCTTAATATTCGCGTTCAGGTAGGATTAAATTAAATTTTTGTGTTTTTATATAATTAAATCTTCAATAAGATAAATGAATGTTTAAATATTTATTGATACTTAAATTAGATTTTCAATTAATTTTTCATGACCCTGTATAATGTAGTATCTATAATTTCCATTCTTGACCAGCGTATTGAATATCTCAATATTGGAATCGAGTGACACACAACTGCGGTATTCATTTCTTCTCGATTCATTAATAGTTTGCGTTCGACGCTCGCTCGATATCGGCGCGTTCGAAGAGAAGCTACTCTGCTCGTTTGTTGTCTCATTGCAATATATGCACAATAAATCTATTGTTGCTGGTTCATTGTGATTATCTATGCTGCTGATGAGCAGCGCTATAACATTATGGAATAATCCGATTGTTAGTTAGTTAGTTAGGTCGCACAGCATGATGTGAAGGATTATTAATTATAATTTGCTATCCATTTAAAGTAGTTATGAATATCTAAATCAATAAGTTGCGCGTTTCATGATGATGCCACTCAGAATGTTGTGCGAGGTGATAAAGTGCGCGATGCTTTAATGAAGTGTGAATTTTCGACATGCTTCGTCCGAACTATTTGACGGTGGTAAGTTAGAAAATAGCATCGAGCCGGCAAAAATTGGAAAACACCGGAAATATACGTACATTGCGTTTGAAATTCGTTATTATAACTGTACTTACAGACACGCTCTCTATTCTTTTTTTTCTGATGTATGGTAGCGATAAACAAATATGAAACGGATTTTCGTTTTATTTGAATTATATCTAAAAATAGTGCGATTATGTTTAAAAACAAAGTCGGCTTTCTTTGCGTCAAGAGAATAAGGTGTATATGTTTGAAGTTGTGCGGAGCGTGTGATTATTTTTGTGTGCCGTGATATAATCAAGAATATTTTGGCAAAGAAAGCGACACATGTATACGTTTACGGAATAATGCAATTTTATGCCTTTGGATATTGTATATTTTTCTAATAACATCCTGTGAGTTAATTTAAGTCGTGTTTATATTAACGTATTTGTTTACCTTAGCCTTGAACGTGAGGAAGTTATTCAATGCGTGTTCACTCCTCGACAAGTACGACTATTTGCGTTCAAAACTAATTACAGATACTGATTTCTCATCTGGTCGAAATGTTAGAATTGGGACTTGCTTCGTTTTAATCATAGACTAGCTTATACTCGCGACTTCGTCTTCGTAGGTTTTAGTGAAAATGTAATTAGTTTTTTACTTTCTTGTTCAAGACTTAGTATGCGCCGATTTCATCAATAAGATTTGTAATTTTATTTTAAAGTAATGAAAATTGCTACATTATGCCCTTTAACATAATTTCGGATTAAATTATTTAGCTATAACTATAATTGAATCTCCATGCAAGTTTAAATCCTTTATTTAACAGTCCTTTAGTAATAATTTTTGATATTTTAATAGTTATTCTGCTATTCGGGACCAAGACGAATCCAACAAATCCTAAATCATCAAAATCTATCAAACCGTTCTTGACTTATAAATGTTGTAACTAACGCGACTTTGTTTTATGCATAGATGAATATACATTTCAATAATTCAATCGATAGAATTTTAATTGCATCGGATGTGTGTTTGAAGTATAATTTCTGTTTTAGTCCGATGGGGTAGGTCACACGCAATCGCGTTGGCATCATCACCATCGACATCGGTCGCCCGGCGCGCCCACCTCTAGCACCACCGTGTCTCGCATCGTCGCTGACATGGACGATTCGCACAATCTGGACGACTCCAGCGCGCAGCTAGAGGCGGCCGACACGTCCGATCTCGCCTACCCGTCGTCGTTCATCTCCAACGGCAGCTCCGAGCATGTCAAGCCAGAAGATGAAGCCGACGCTATGGGCGGCGGTGCCGCCGGCAACACCCGAACAAATGCTACAATTGAACATTTAGGAAATAAAATAATTAGAGTTAGGGATTTAATACGTACTGAGCAAAAACTAAGAGATGGTAAGATATATTTAATCTAAAATTAACAGAAAAATTAAATTTATTTCTTCTGTTTTTAGATAATGTCAGTGAGTATCTCAAATTAGTTACGAACGCTGACAAGCAACAAGTGCAACGTATTAAGGCTGTCTTTGAGAAGAAGAACCAGAAAAGCGCGCAGGTAATATCGCAGCTACAGAAGAAACTCGACAACTATCAGAAGCGATTGCACGAGTTGGAAACGCACGGTGTGGTACCGCATCGTCCGCCACGGGAAGTACTACGCGACATGGGGCAGGGGCTCAAGTGAGTGGCACACCAATATAATTAATTAACCGCGCGCTGATAACGCGGCACGTTCGCATGCCGATAAGCTAATCGAATATTGCGGTGTTTCCAGGAATGTTGGCGGCAACATACGGGACGGAATTAGTGGTTTTGGCGGCTCCGTCATGTCCAAGCCACGGGAATTCGCTCATCTAATCAAGAACAAATTTGGCAGCGCGGATAATATTAGCCAACTGTCAAGTGAGTATCTATTTCTTTTCGTGTGCGTTTGTTTGTTTTACTAAATATTTAACAATATCTATTAAGGTTCCGATTAATTTTGTCTTTTAACTCATACATATGTTTCTTTTAATCTGTCTAATCTTGCATTACCGCGATGGTTTCCTTTGAATTGGTTTACCTTTCAAATCTTTTAACTTTAATTCAACTCCGGTCTACTATCAGTGATTGCGATTGAAGTGGAAGGTAGTCAATGTGTTTTGAAAATTATGATTCATATTGGCTTTATTTGATTTTGTTTTTATTCACGGCGTGTAGAAGCTTTTTACACGATGCAGAGATTTTATATAAGATGTTTTTTCTACTAAGAGTGGATGCATGTTTGTTGTGCTTTCCCATAATTTATTTGCGTCAGTTTAAAGATGTTTTTGTGACGCTGAAAATGTGAGTTTTAACCCACTAGTGGTGGCACAATGTCAACATGCACCTTACTACGATGGCATGATTCACATTTGCACCTCGCATGCTAACGTAACCATCTCGATTAATATTCGTAGCGTGGTACATAGGGCCGGGCACGACTGGATCTGAGGGCAGTGGGACAAATGGCGGCGCTGGCAGTGATCAGGGCGAGAAATCGCATCACCATCATCATCACAGTGGCTCGGCAACACTCCCCGCGACGTTGCATTCGGCCAATTCGAATACTTCTATGGGACAAAGTGTCCCGCAAAAGTTTCCGAGTGAGGAAGCAAGTGAATGTAGTAGTGTAACTAGTGAAAGCATCGAAAGGTAAATTTATTGTACTTTTTTTACATTGAGCAATATGTGACTTTTTGTTTTTATTCTTTATAGATACCATGGAAGGGCTCAAGAAGCCGGATCGACTCAAGACGTTAAATGCAATGCAATGTATAAACAATTAGTAACCGTTCAGGAGGAGGTAGCCATACTCAGAAAGAAAGTAGACAGTAGTAGCAATTTGCAACACGACATACAGTTCCTTAGCTCATCTTTACAAGTAAGACAATTGCTGCATTCGCAGAAAGAAAATATTTCAACGTGTAATTATTAAATTCCAGGAGGAGCGTTTCAAAACAGAAAGACTTGAAGAGCAAATCAACGACCTGACTGAACTGCATCAGAACGAAGTGGAGAATCTGAAACAAGCAATGGCGGACATGGAAGAAAAAGTGCAATACCAAAGCGAGGAAAGATTGCGAGATATTCACGAGATTCTCGAACACTGTCAGACAAAAGTACGGCCACTGATTCTATTCTATGTCTGCCTTTCTAAGGTTATTGTTATGTTGCAGATACAAAAAATGGAACATCAAGCGCTCCAGCAGCAGCAGTACGTGACGCTCGAGGGACTGGACAACTCGAATGCGCGTGCATTCGCCGTCAAATTGATAAACGTGCTGCTCACCGTGCTGCAGGTCGTGCTATTGTTGGTGGCGACGGGTGCCGGCATCATCATGCCATTCCTACGTACGAGGTAACTCTACCGTCATTATATTACTGTTCAATGAGTTTCCGAACAAAAGAATCTCAAATGAATTGTGTGCGCTGCTAATTTTAGCGACAATACAATACTCGCGCATGCAATGCATCATTATAAGTCGGTCTAGGTTTTTCTCAGCAATTTTCATTCCAATGAGTGATCAATTTATCATGGTCGTGAAAGTCGTTGTCTTGCACTTCTGAATATTTACCATTGTTATTGTTTTTGTCGCATTATTACTGTGTTTTGTTTTGCTAATCACAATCTTTTTTGTCTTATTTGTTCCATCATTGCGAACACGTGCCTTTTCTCATCCCGTATGCCGTTTGTCACATGTCGTGAACGTGAACCTTGCGCCACACACACAAAACAGCGATCGCTATAGGACGGTAACGGTGACCGAGGTTGTGCGAGCGACGAGAGATAAAATTAATTTGGGCACGACGAGATCGTCCATTGTAGCAAGGACATTTTCGAAAACATGACGGGTAAATGTTTTTCTTGATCTTTTTACTCCAATATATTTATACATGTATTTGTATATATTCAATACTAAAACAGGTGTGCGATATCATGATGTTTGCCTAATACACCTAGACCGACTATTATTGTTTTTATTACAGCTTTGTTGTTGTTTTTCTGTGCATCTCATAATCATCTTAATTAATTTATGCATCCGGCGATTGGGTGTGTCATTAATGTGATTGTTTTGTTTTAGAGTGAGAATTTTGACGACAATGAGTATTGTTTTTATTGGCATCTTCGTGTTGAGGCAGTGGCCGGAAGTGGCCGACATTGGATCGCACGTAATGAAGCGACTCAAAGACATGCTGGATCCAGTCAAATAGCATTTACCGTTGTCCCTCAAATAATAACAATTAACTAGAAGCAGTGAGGAAGGCGAACGTTACTCAGCCAAATGCCACTCAACAACAACAAACCCCTGAAAGTAATTTTAAGTTTAATACTATGCAAAGACAAAAAATCGACTCTACATCTCTCTTTTCAGTCTCTCTGTTTTACTATTATTTTAATATGTAGTATTTAATTTGATACATAGGGTTATATTTATATTGAAACTTATTCATCATGAAAGGCATCGTCACGTTGCGCTACACCATCTTATTTTTGCATTAGAAATGTAAATTTATATTAAGTCATATCATTTTATAATGTCTATTGAAAACAAGTCAAAGCGAATCGAAAACGCGACGCTTATTCGTGATTTATCGTTTATTTATCGAAATAGACACATGAACATAAAAGAGATACGATATTTACAGGAAAGACAGCTATTACTGCTGTATATTTGTATTTCAATTAAACATTTTAATTGACGTACAATAAGTTTTATTTATTTTATTTCAGTGATGCGCCAATAATTGATTCCAATTGTTTACCCGAAGAGCAGAAACATCCATGTTATTCTTAGAAGTTCTGTTTTGAGAACATCGTGTCAATAAGTGTAAAAATGATGGAACCAATGTCGAAGGTTTGTGATTTTTTGTTTGTGCAGTACATTCAACTAATATTTGTGTCACAATTCAAACAATTTCTTGCTATGATCGGTGCTGTTAACAATGCTGGGAATCAAGTCTAAATTTATTGATAAATCTGAACAATACTCATTATGGAAGCATTTCAAAGTTTAGTTGGTTTAGTATAATCTGTTTTGTTCAGTGGTACTTATCATGGGTAAAGTTATTTTATAGAAACCATTGCATGTGAGCATAATATGACAAAAATACGATACAACTAGTGAAATTCCTATTGTAAGTAAAAAATTATATACCAGGCATAACCAAATGAATTTTCCATGCGAAAATTGAAACGAGATTTTAATCAACAAGTCTCTTTTTTTTTTTGGTAAAATATTTATTTTTATTTACACTGAAAATAAATTATGATTTTGAGAACTTATTGATTGCAATTGTATTAATATAAATTATTGTGTATTTTTTTTAGTACTTAGTTTATATTTTTATTATTGTAAATAAAGTTTTCAATTTTTAGTTTCACACTTTTTTTCTCCTTTTGTTATGATTTCAACAATCAAGACACATTATTTGCTCAAAATACGAAAATCAAAATTCTGTTTTCAAGAACATTACCTTGTTAAAACAAACATGATGAAAAGAACAAGAAGCGCAAAATGGAATTGTAATAAATACTAAATTCAAAAGCGTGGGTCCAAAAATCGCAAAAAATTAATTCCATGAATTTTATATGAATGAGAAAATAGTAATTACTATTCACTTCCACAACTAACAAACAACTTTTTGCCAAAATATGATGAAACAACTTCAACTTTAACAGATACATTGAAATTAGATTACATCAATCATATCAATTCAACCCTTTTAAAATTGTCCTTTTCTCTGCGCAATGACATCAGAAACACTACTCGCAACCAATCTTAAACGAGCACATGAGCACATGACGATAAATGTTTATATAGTAACAATATATAAGCGAACTAAAATAATGAAAGTAAGACTGCAGGAAAACCACAACTTATTACATAATAATAAGGTGAACAATAATGTACATTTGTTGCAGACGTTAGGCGCAAACCCACAAACATTGTTGACCAATGACTTTCTGTAACAATTGCTACATGTGTAACAATAACTATAAATATGAAAACTATAAAGACGTGTATTGTTGAGAATACAATAGATCAATAATAATGCTTATAAATACATTAACTAACGGTGTGATTGTAACGAAAGGCTTTTGGTATTGTGTACATTAGAAAGTAGACATGATAAAGAAAACAAACGCCTAACTCTTGTAATACTATCAGTCAAATTACTCTAACTTCTATTTATTCATGTTTATCAAGTAACAGTTGAACATTATGCGAGTAGTACAAAAGAGTATCATCTGATAAGTGTTAATGACTACACCAATTTAAAAAGAAAGTCAATTACAGGTATCCAAAAATTGATTGAACTCAAAAAGTCTTACAAAAACGCTTTATTAGTGAATTTGTTATATTTCACCCCTCGATACTCCAGGACTAAATTCTAGAAGGTTTATGAATATGAAAAACTTGATTGTGAACAATGTAACATACTTCTTTTACATTCCTATTAGATTAGAATTCTTGTAAGTAAAAACACATAGGATGCAAATAGTCTATGAAGTATGTAATTAAAACAATAAAATGTTGTAAGTAGTTTGTTAATAAATTACAACCCAAGCATCAATAATAACTTAGTCGTCCATCCATTTTTATAATTATTTTTAATGTATGTATTAACTTATGAAAATGGGTATCAAAATGGGTATTATACTAATGTTTATAAACCAAGAATAATACCGACGTGGTACAGCTTTAGCTGCATAGACTTGTCATGTAGGCTGAAGCTCTCTGTGGAAATAGCGTCCGTTCCATTCTGATTTATAAAGAAAACTAATTTTTAGATGACGAATTACTAAACCATGTATATTTATACCCACGTTTAAAAATACTCTAACTGGTATTAATATAATAATAATGTAAATTTGAAATCACAGTTGATAGTCAATCAATTAGATGTAGATATGAGTAAATATAACAAAAGTAGGATTGCGTTATGTATAAAAAGGCATGTTACATACATAAACAAGTGCGAAAGATGTGATTAACAAAGACATACGAGTATGTTAATGATACTAAGCCATAATGACTGTTACATTCATATTAAATGCGTACATTTCGAAGTTTTGACACGTTAAGATTTACATAAATTCTAAGTTGGATCATTTTGTAATGGTGTTTATAAGTTTTATAAGTAAAACTATATTGCGGAGTTATTTGTACTCGAAATGTGTAAGTATAAGTACATCAAGTTGTATTTCCAGAGGTTTAGCATGTGTAATGAAAACCAATTTTTGTTTCTGCAAGTTAACTGATGTAAAATCATGAAAAATATATGAATATAAATATGATTAACACACACATGTTTTAAGACTGTAGACAGGTAAACGTTATAGTGTCATTGATCAAATTTACACCATCAATACCACAATTAAATAAAGAATTATCCCATTAGTCATATAGTTTTACCAGACAAGTATGTTACGTTTGCAAATGCAGTCATCATATTATAACACCATATTGGTAATCTCCCATGTTAGTTAAATCCGCACGTACTTTGTACTCTGATCCGCAAAACAAACACCATTAAAACAAAATCATGTACAAAGAGACAATACAAATGCATATCACATATACCGATTATAGACATGGACATTATTTCTTTAGTATCAGTATTTTGCTGATCGCTTTCAATGCGCGTGCTCCAAATTAAAAATTATATTCTTTAGATAAGCTTCAACTTTGGGTATCTCGAGTATTTATTCTATGAGTGTAAACATCATTGATAGGAGATGATTTTCGACGGAGTTTGAGCACATCACAAGTATATTTATTGAATTCATAATCAGTTCTCTGTTGCAACTCAGCGGTTTGGGTTTAATGTTTGGTGCATCAGCGTGTGGATAATAATAATTCGGTTTTTTTTTAATTAGAAGTTTAATAATGGCAGGAAAAATGCTTAAAATTGGATTTGTTGGTGGCGGAAAAATGGCACAAGCGTTGGCTAAAGGATTTATCTCAGCAGGTAAATGTTATTTGTGTAGTTTATTTGACAATCTTAATAAAAATATTAATTTTATCTTTCTAGGATTATCCAAGGGAGAAAATATGATTGCTAGTAACCATCCCGCCGATGTAGCATCACAACAAGCTTTTCGGGTATTTGAAATTAATACTAATGTATATTATTATAGTTAACTATGTTACATCACAAAAAATAATCTAAATTTAAATGTAAAGTGTAATCATAACTGTATTTACGATTTGTGTAGTATGTGAATTAATCAAATATTATTTGTAGGACTTGGGAGCAGAGTCAATTACGGAAAACATTTCGGTCGTAAAAAAGTCTGAAGTTGTTATCATCGGTGTCAAGCCACAAATTATTCCCGTGGCATTAGGCGAATTGCAGAAAGCAAGTGGTTTAGACACGAATAAATTGTTTCTTTCTATTGCGATGGGAGTTACCATTAATCAATTAGAACAGGTAACATTTGTTTACTTTTGTTTGGTAACAAATGCAGGTAAATCTAATGTATGAATTTTAGTTTCTACCAAGTCCTGCAAGAGTTGTACGTGTAATGCCCAACACCCCTGCTCTGGTTCGAAATGGGGCATCAGTGTTTGTTGCAGGAGAGAAAGCAAGCAAATCTGACATCGAAATAACAAAGCAATTGTTGCAATCAGTAGGCACATGCGAACAAGTTACCGAAAACTATTTAGATCCCATTACAGCACTAAGTGGATCTGGACCTGCTTATGTAAGACTTTTATATTTAATTATTAATCCGGATTTATTCTTTTTGCATATTATAAATACCAGATAGTAACACTTATATAAATTGAAGTGAAATATGTTTGTTTCGGTAAAGTTGGCGCGTGTCGGTGTGTGTTATCAAATATAACTCTACAGTTTGTACCGAGATGGCGATTAGATGCAGTTATTTTCATAAAGTACTGGTTTATTTACTTTGTCGAAGTTCTTTGTTGGTGGTAGTGTGTGCACACTCTCGTCAGTGTGAATTCACGCGACGTGAATGTTTAATACTTGTGAAAATGTTTAATACTTCTAATTTTGCAGACACAAAGATTTATAAATTATTGACAATAATTATTATTATTTTAGGTATATATAATGATTGAAGCATTAGCAGACGGCGGCGTCAAAATGGGACTGCCTCGTGATATGGCATATCGTCTAGCATCGCAGACTGTTCTTGGCGCAGGTACCATGGTGAGAGACACCAAGACACATCCTGGCATTTTAAAAGACGAAGTTACATCACCAGCTGGAAGTACAGCCACTGGATTACATTTCCTCGAAAAACACGGTAAAAATAAATTATTTTAATTATAATATTTTATTTATTTTATTTATTTAATATGACATTTATATTGCAGGATTTAGATCAGCAGTTATTGGTGCAATTGAAGCAGCTACTTTAAGATGCAGAGAAATCTCTCAGCCCGAGAAGAAATAATAATTTAGTGATGTCCTTTGAAATTAATTAATTAATTTTGATAATTTTTAAGACTAGTTGAAGTTTGTTTTTAAACATTTTATATTGTTGAACAATTAATATTTTAACAAAGATGTATTGTTTATTAGACACAGAATGATATTTTGCCCCGCGGTGCAAAACAAGTTTTATCTTGTTTTTACAACTTTTATGCTTGTGCGCATGTTACCCTCATACCCCCGCAACACTTGTTGCAGCGCTGAAGTGCGACGCGCATGTTCTATCAGTCGATCACCACAGTTTGATCCTGCTGCAGCTCCGTGTAAAATTGCTGAAAATTAAGAAAATATTGTGAAAAAAGGTGGTTACCAAGTGAAAATCATTGTGCAACATGATCACGAGTAAGGTACACGCAGTTCTTTTGCATTTATTTAGTCTATTAACTAATTAAACTCAAGATTTTGCAATCGTTGCATTTGGTCTATTGTTATCGCGTCATGATGGGTTAGGATTAGTTTTTCCTGGAATGTCAACTGAAATTTTTACTCCCGAAACAATTAGTGGATTTTCTTTGTTCTTTCATAGGCGTTTAATATATTTCTACTTGACTAAAATTGATGCGACGATCGTCCGATTGCAAGAATGCGCACACGTTTGGCTGGCTTCGTGCAGCGGTCTTATCAGTTGTTTGTTTACTTTACGAATATTTTCTACCTGCTTCGCAAGAAAAGAGTAACGGGTAGAGAAACGCAACATACTACATGCAATCCCGGTAATCCGGACTCGGCTTAATCAGGCACCTCTTGTAATCCGACAACAAGGGTCGCAAATGCGTGAATGAACAAGTTATAACTTGTAGTTACGTACCACTATTGTGCTCGAGGCGTTAAATCTGATTGCTCAGTTTGAATTTAAAATTCGATCAAGATACATATTGGTGCGTTCTAGCAAAATTTTATAATAACATATGTAAAACATAATTTTTCTATTGTGTTGTTTAATTCACTAAATTTTAATTCAATAAATCTTATCATTGAATTTGTAGTTTGTCGGATTACAAGATACTCTTTTGTGAAAAGTTCCGGATTGTAGAGGGTCCTAGGCAGCACTCTATCAGCACTCTAATCCGACAAATTCGCTAATTCGACAATGCCCTGCAAAGTGTTTGTCAGATTACCGGGATTCTAGTGTATTTGGTTTTATTTTGTAGTGTTGGGTTGCATTTCAAAATATTAGCGCAGTTCCTATTAGATATTCTCTTCTTCATAATTTAGTCACCAGAGTAGACGTGATTGATCTATGAATTTTCTAATAGGTACTTATTCTTTCTGTCTAAATGTCTAGGACTTGGGATTTCATAAAACCACAATTCCACAGCATTACCCTGCATTATCCTGGCCGTTTATCGTAAATTCTTGGAATTCTTGGTAACAGGTTTGAAATTTTGTACAATTTCTTTATTTTGAGTTTAATATGTGTATTACGAATACTTCTGCCTATTTTGGGCGTATGTCGTTAATAAGTTGACGCGATTTTCAAATTATGGCGCTCCATAATTTGCATTATTAATAAAAGTGAAGTGAAGTGCGTGATTACAATTAAAATCCTGCATTTTTTAAATTTGCATATACTAATTGTTCTTTCTGCTTGTGTTTCAGGTACAAATTCGAATTTTCTTGGTATTTTTTGTAACCCGGGCGCGCTCGTTTTTGTATTTGTTTCTTGCTTTTTACATTTTCAAACATCCTCTTCACCAATTACCTTACTATTACCTTTTTTTTTCAAATATTTAAAAGATTCCGCATTAGGGACAATTCTTACTTTTATTTTCATTTTATTCTCTTTGTTTACCTTTTCCTTTTTTGTTTTAATTAAATAAAAGAATCCAGACATCGGCAAATATTTATTTTCCAAGTTTTATTTGTATAGAGTAGAGTCTTCTTTTCTTTTCTGTTTCTTTTTTTCTTTTTATTTTGCTTTTATAAATACCAGCTTATTACTGCACCTTTCCCTACCTTACTGCCACCCTTAATAATCTTTTTTTTATAGCAAATACTAATATAATTTCGGTTGACCTGGAGAGGTGTAACGAAATACTCATCGAGTGCGGGTCGCGACGCGTTTTTAAACTTCCAAATCTCTGGGCAGCTATTAATGAAGGGTCGTGCCATGTCCCTTTTACCTGTTAACGAAAGTACACAGTCGTAATTGTATTATAAAATTAATCTTATCCGAATCGCAAAAAATGGAGTGCGCGTCGTGTCAAATAATCCGTCAAAGTTTCGCGTTTTTCGTCTATCGCTTTCCAAGGACGTCTTTTAAATCGGGTTTCACTCGAAACGTTCCACCATTGGGGGATGAAGAAGATGAGTCGACTACAAGCAACCTACCAGCGTTTTGGACAGAAGTTTGGCAATATGACGACGCATCCTCCTGAGAAACGCTGACGAAGGATCCCAGTTTCTAGGAGCCGGATGTAAGGTAGGTGTGATGATGACTTGGACCGGAGGGTAGTCACGAGTGCCTCTGACTGGTGGATGCGCAAAGCATTTTGCTGCGTATCGGACAGCCGAAGGGGAGGCCCACTCGGGGCTAGGTCCTTGGTTCAGGGATAGTCCACCCAGCCTTGCTAGAAACGCCGGATGTCTATAAGCACTGAGTGAGTACACCTGACACCAAACTGGATGTCTTGTATATTTATGCGCTAACATATGCACGTGCATTCAAATCATCGTAACAATCTCGTTAGAAGACCCGCGTTAATTCAATAAATACGTTTTTATTTTCATTGCGCGGTTGCATTTCGGTATTTCAGGCTCGATTCATTACCAAAGCAATCGGTCAACTTTTAAAATTTTCCAGGAGTCGGGATACTCTATTAAATTCGTTCGACTCATTCGCGTTTTTCGTGATTGCAATCCGATTCTTTCAGGCGCGCTTCATTGCCTAAAATGAAAGGCACAAGATGACAACATCAACCACAAATTATTTGATATTTGCTCATAACTCCAAATATTTGAGCCATCATAATTCGCGACCGTCAATCTTTGCGCGTAAGAATTGCATTCATACAATTCTGTAGATTGATGAATGAAACCATTATTTAAATTATTGGTATGAATGCATGTATTTATTTTGTTTATATTTGTGTGTGTTAAATGTTTGGACGATGTGCTTGCACATGGTACCAATAGCCTGTTGCCCAAAGCGGTGCAGCAGGTCACAAGGCATTTACGACATTTATGATTATTTCGCGGCGAAAACCGTTTCGCCACCCTCATCGCAGATCGTCAAACGCGGTCGCGGGCATATTACGCAAAACAACTAATGTTGTACAAATATATTTGAAACGGTCTGTGATTATTAGTTAAATATGTTGTTAGGTAGGGAAACAGGCAGGTAAAGAAACTGAGACTAATATTCCTAAACCCTTTTAGTGTGTGAATGATATATGTATTAGCTACAGACGTATATTATAATATGTATGTACGAGTATAATATTAACGATTTTGAATGAAACTTTGTTAATGGTTGATTAAAGTATTATCCATCTTTTTTGAGCTAACAATTAATACTGTTAAACAAATTTTCTTGTTTTAAGTAGTATAATATATATGTTTGGTAATTAGATTTATCGATCATCAAATAACTAACAAGTTTCATTCGATACATATTGTATGTTTAATAATTATTAAACATATTATTAGCTCCGCGATTATTAGTCCTTGTGCAGGCAGGAACGTATTAGGTCCTTCCTATATTTCCTATTTCCTTGTTACCTTAATTAACAATATTTCAAATATAAACATTTAAGTAATATATGTTGCTATATTTTATTTCGAGTGTGATTGAGACTGATACTAACATCCTCCACTCAAATTTGAATTCAAATATGCACTAATATTATTCTGCTTTTTAGATTAAACGCTGTAAATTTGAGAAAATATATGTATCTACCTCTGCTTGATTCTTTCATTATACTTTCCCTTAACTAAATTATTTATATTTAAATTATGAATTTTTAAGATTTATGCAGCATTTTAAACAGCAACTAATTACAAGTAGAAGCAGGCATCCCTTGGATGATCAATCAGACTCGAAGACTCGTCCTATATATTAAGTATATATGACTCAACCGCAGCTGACCACGTACCGTCATAAATTATGTATATTTATGATGAATATAGGCGTTCGTAGCTACGGATTTCCCTTTTATACCTGCGACCGATCTGTAAAAATGGGTGGGGAAGGAGTCCCAGAAAGGGTTACATAGATGGTTGCTCGCAAGTGAGCGAACCGAAATACAGTGCTGGAGGAGTGAGGATTTGTGGCTAAGTGGCCCTAATAATAAATTAATCTACTACCTGAATACGTTTCTCGCGGACTTCAATATGGAAATGGAAAATTTTTTATGGCAACGTTTATTTTTGAAAAACTTATTAGTTAAATCTCCGATATAGAAAGCTTCTGTTCTGTATCTACAAAATGAAAATTTCTACGTGCGTTTTTCCGGCACGAGCTTTCTATTTCGCATCGCAGATGGCGCATAAAAGCCAAGAAAGGAAAATGAACCAGCTGATGAAACATCTGATAGGTTAACTGTAGAAAGCCGGCTCGCAGCTAGGCGCACAGAGTTCACAGTAAAGTGCAGGTGTAGCGGTGAATCGGCAGCCGAGAGGCTGATGCTGGAAACAAAGAAACCAACGACGAAGAAGCTCCATTCGTTGACAACGCTCCAACTTCTCAATCACGCATTGTCATCAATAAATCCAGCAGTCCTAGGTGAGTCATTCGTTAAATAATCTGTAAAATTTCGCGCAATGCGCCTGTGTGAGTCCGTGCGAATCGTTCCTACTCACACACATGCGCAACGCATACATGTACGACAGTGCGCTCCGACGTTCTCTGCCGGTCGCTGCTCGGCGGTTGCGCAAGAGAATCCCCAGTCAGCTGTTCTGTCAAACGTTTCTCTATTGAACGGCCGGCAGCCACCGGCGAACAGAGGAGTCGCGGCGAATCGCGGCCAGTACGAGCGAAGGCAACTAGTGGAGAGCGGCAACTCCGAACGCACGAACCGCCAGCGAAACACCGTTTTCTCTTCGCTTTTTTTCTTTTCGCCGGTTGACGCCGGTGTCGATGCGTTGCGCCGACATCGGATCGAAAGCGATTTCGAGTAGTTTAACTTTACTTCGTTAAAAACGCTGCAAACGCGCGGACAATCGGGCAAATCAATGCAGTACAAGTACAAAACGGGCCAGTGCGATTTGTTTAATCGGAGATTGAATTGATTTCGAATTTCACATTCGCTGCTGATTAAAAATAATCTGGTGAGTAGAGATTATTATTTTTTTCGGAGAGATTTAGGGCTCAGTTTTTCTTTGTTGAGGGCTTTGTATCGCTGTGGGGAAAACTTTAGGTTAAGGGTCTTTGTTCGCGGAGACGGCCGGGGGACCATGCGCATGCTATTAACTGGGGGGAATTTTCCATCGACTTCCATATTCATGCTATTTTCCTTTTTTGTGATCGTTGCATGAAACTGTCAGTTGTGCGCGGAAAGCCGGCCGGTGCATTGTCCTAGCATGCACTCTATTATTAAATATTTAATCAGGCCCGTAAATAAGTTAATAACTTTTTTAAACGGCCATTAAATATTAATTTATTGCGAGCGTTTAATTTTTATTGTGTAAGTTGCAGTTAGAAACAGTGAGTATTTGCGAATGCAATAATTTCGTATCGAATAGTTTGTCATTATAAGTACTTTAGTGCAATTGTTGATTTGAAAATTGAGTTGGAAATGCTGGCAGTGTGTTGCTAAGTGCTTCATGATATCATGATGTTAAACAATTGTACTATTTACGGGGTGTTTTGCTAAAGCAAATAAACGCACTGCGGTTGAAATAATTAGAAATAATTACACTTTGTTTGCTTTTCACTTTTATTTTAATTAGTTTTATTGAGAAATCACATTCGGAAATTAAACACAATGCGTGCAATAATAATAAATAGGAATAAAAACATGAAATAATAGATTTGCTCGATTTCGTGTTGATTTTGTTGAGTAATTACGCTTAGTGCAAATGACGCTTTGATGAGATAGTGGCAAATTAGGAACAGAGACTTGAAACTTTGTAGGCCGTGGAATTCTCGTCGAAATAAACAAAAGAACAAAAAACATGATCTAACACATACACGCGCAAAGCAGAAAAAAAAAAACGCGGTGAGTGTACGTGTTTATAGCATGAGTTACTCTTACTTGGCACGAATGACATCTAAATTTAGTGCAAATTGCGGTGTAGTTACTGTTGCAATCAAATCATATGAAAACCATTATTAAATATAGGAAAACTTTGCTGTAATTAAAATTGACTTGGCCATATTCCATTATTATTATTTTAGCTGTCGACATTGTATCAAAAATCATACTAATGTGTTTGAACTTTCGGATGTTTTTTTTTGTGCGATTTCAAACAAAGGAAACGCATGAAATTATTTTGCAACGCGAGTTGCAAATTACACTTGGTATAGGCACTCGTCTGTTTCGTCAATCGCGGTGTTTTCGGTAATTAAATATTTGTGTTTAATCAAGATTATAATTGAATGCGCGGCCATGCGATATATACGAGTACAGTGTCTTTATTGCTGCAGCAAGTGTGAGTAATGCGACCGCCCCATTGCCGATGCCAGCCAGTGTCATTGGCGGGGCGCATGCGACACTAATAAATAGTCTGAATAATAATTAAAAGGACTGGTATGCATTACGAGTATAAGACACTGCTTGTATGAGGATTGAGTATCATGTTTTGTTAGTGATAATTTGCTCGACGCATTCAAAATGTTTTTTTTCATTTTGCACTTAATTTTAGCGTATACTGGGTGATGATGGTAGTGATAATTTGTGATATATTGATTTATTTCGAGATAAGAGAAAATGTTGTTTATATATTTATTTAGTGCTTAGGGAAATCAATATTGAGCAAATATTAGTCATCTGGGTTCGGTTAAAACAATGATCACTCATCGAACTGTCAGGTTGTCACAGACAATCGATGTAAATCAAACTAGGGACAAAAGTTGGCATCTTTTATCTTTATTCGAATGTTTAATATGTTTTTTTTTTTACATTTGAGGTTAGCGAATGGATGTATGCAACCAAAATTACACATTTTATTTTAATTTTGTCGATGTTTTCAAGGTTTTCAAGTTTTAATCATTTAAAAATTGAATTCGATTTTTTTCTTATTTAATTTCTTTTCAAAATTATTAATCTTTTATTCTTTTTAAGTGGTGACAATAAATATATAAATTACTAATGAGTTTTACTAATGATTCATTTTAAATTTAAAAATAAACGCATTGATTATGATTTGTGGACACAATATTTAGCACAGTTATTTAGCGGACTTAAAAGTTTGCAACAATCGCATGAATGAAAGACATGCGACTGTTAGAAAATTGCGACACTTGAAATTGAGTTTTCGGATTGCGCGAGAGTTCAACGTTCTGTTTCGTGACTATCGACGCGTCCGAAATAGCAATTAACCGACATTAAGGTGACCTTGAAATGCGAGTTTTATTATTATTTTCTGTTTCTCTCGCTAATGTGCCACACTTCCTTCGCCTTCCTGCGCGCCAGGACATACTGTCATGGACATGGAATATTATGATTTAATGCGTACCCGGCACGCCAAGACCACAACTACCACAATTTCGAAGTTGTTCGTGTCACCCGGCTAGCATTCGAAAATATGTAATTTAAATTACGTAATCGAATCATTACAAATCATTACAAATTAGTTCCAAGGTTTATTGATCGTTGGGGTCGTGTAGCAAACAAATTGCATTGCATACCAAATTTGGCATCGGTATTATTTATCTATATATGTGTTTGTTGTTTGCATTAAACTGTTTTTGCACTTATTATTGTCGTGATTAAACTTTATTTGCTGACGTAGTTATTCCTTATTAAGAAAGAAAAAGCGCCATGACCTAGGGGTTTATCTCGAAATTAGAAAACAAAATCATATCCTAGTTTAATCGGATGAGAATCTATTGCAAACAACAAATATTTCTACATTGTAAAACGATCCGTTTATGTTTTTGAAACTCTTGCCTTCGGTAACGTGCTTTGCGCGTGCAATTGAACTGCGAGAGGAGTGTTTGGTAAACTTGATATTTTGCATTTTAAAATATGACCCAGATACGTTCAATTGTTTTCAATTTATGCGCGCAAACGCAAGCGGAGTACACTTTGTCATGTCGGCGACTATTAAACACTCGCAAGGCACAATCATTTCTATAAGGATGAATTAAATATCAAACAGCTTTTCTTTATTTTAATTTAACGCTCCCTTAAAATATTTAGAAATCTGACTAAGTAACAATACACAAATAAACGACCAGCAATTTGATATTGAATGCTAATGTAGGTAATTCTAATTGAGGTGTTGGCTTGTCAGCAACACAATGTGGGCGAGTTCAAGGTGAAATCGGTCATTAAAAGTGTTCATCATGCAATACTTGTTTGAGAAATTCATAATTAATTAATACGCTTTTTGGGATGCATTATTATTAGTAAAACGCTTGCAAACTAAAATGCACAATATATTTACGTGCGAATATGACATAACATTCGCCTGCAACGAAAGAGAATAGAATTTCTAATGAGAGTTTAGAAAATATTTTATTTCAAAAATTTTAAAATTATTTTTATCTATTGTTAATATATCAGTGTTGAAGGAAGTTAAATTTATAGCTTAATATATTTTATTTTTTGATATTGCATGAAACACCCTGTAGAAAGTACTCAATTATACAGGCACAGCAAATGATGGCATAATACTGTGCGTGCCAAGCTAACTCTGGATGAAAAATATAAACTATTCGCATTGCTTACTTGCCTCACAGAATATAGTAGTGGCAATTGCTGCACTCTAGGATAACGTTCATTATTTGATTATGCAATCGTTTATGTTACGGCTTTGTGCGCCGTATATGCGCTATGCACGATAATAATTCATTTGTGTGGTGCATGTTTTTCTTTTCTCCTGTTTTTTTTTTCGTTGTTTTGTTTTGTATATGCACTCACCGCACACATTATTGTATTTATACATGTAGGTAATAATTATTGTGGAAATGTCATTTTTATGTCAATTATGAAGTCAAGTCAGCTTATTAGTTTGGATCGTTTTATGAGCACGTTGCACGTTGAACGTGCGAATGCGTTTTTGAACCTCGACTAGCACTAGCACAATTTCATTTATATCAATATAAGCATTGAATATTATATATGTACTTATCTATTGCACATTGCACCGGCTTGTGTTACATACATATGCTGCCGAAACCGGCGAAGAGGTGTGTGAGTTTGAGCGCACACACGAGCGACTAGCTAGTGTTGTAGGTTAGTGCGAGCGCGGTCGGGTGCAATGCACTTTTGCACTATTCGTTCGTTATTCTATTTTATTCCTATTGCCAGCACGCCGGTACGCACGTAAGTACTTACCGACGATGCAAGTGCACTGCACGCTGGTAAATAGTGAGCGCCCGAATGAGAACATGCTGCGCTGTTCGCTAATCTAATGAACAATCCATCTTGCTACAATTTCAAATGCTCTGCGAATTGTTGCATGAGGCAATCATACGCAAATATCGCTCGCAAATGTAGCTCGTGTAGGGTACAATTGTAGAATTTATACAATTGTATAAAGTGTATGCCATCTAAGTAGCAGGCAAATGCGATTTAGAGGTTATGCGAAATTATAATTGGCGAATTTTAAATCCTATTTGCATTGTTGGCTGCATATTTGAGGGGAATTCACATGCAGTTTGCATATTTACATAATGAATGTTAGTTATCTCGACCCAGTTTAGTTATTAAAAAGTATTAAATACTATTTTTACTTTAAACTTTATTTTAACTATTTCGGTGGATTTTATGTAATGTGCGGTGCGGTATTGCTATTTTTACGAAGTAATTATGTAGCAACTAAAATTTAAAAAGCTCTATTCGCCAGAAATAATATGTTTTTAATATATATATATATTTTTTGCTTTGTTTCAGGAACCTGCCAAAAATAAATCGCTAAAAACAATATAATAATTAAAATCAAAATTAAAAATATGAATATGGAAACGTCCACTGCAACTTTTTGTTAAACTTGATGATGATTAAGTTGCGAATTATTGAAGTATATTTTGAGAAAATTCAATAATTATGTGAATGAAGTATTAAATCATTTAGATAGTAAGTTTAAACAAATATCAAAATTTATTGAAGAAAGAATTATTGGTGCGAGCATCAGGAGCCAACAAATATTTACTAAATTAATTCCTAGCCAATCTAAAAAAGAAAGAAAACAATTGTTTCGCCGATAAATTGTTTGCCTTAACATTAACTAGTAACAAATTGAATCTATTTACTTATAAAATTGAATTATGAACGAGAGTAACACGCGCGTTTGAGAAATATAAAATCGGCGCAAGAGCGATTTTGGATCTGTGGAACAAGTTCAAGGCCCCCCGTGATACACAATACAACACAATATGTTCGTCCAGAGCGACTTTTCCAAGACGAACAATAATAACGGACATGGCCATCATCATCATCCGCATCATCGGGCGATCGACATTGTCGCGCCGTCGAATCACAACCGCCATCCGCTCAACCACCATCAGAACAATCAGTCGGATGACTTGTTCAAAGATCTCGATCTGATATCGCGCTTCTGCATGCCGATCTGCTCGCGTGATAATGATGTGCGCGAAGGCGCACTCGAAGCAATCGCGAAGACGGTGGAGGGATGGCTGGATGGTGTTGGTAGTCCGAAGCATTATCGGCTGGCGCAAACCGCCGACCGTCGCCGGTTGTTTACACCGATGGTGGCCGGGATGAACGGTGGCGGTGGTGGCTGTGGCGGCTCGAATGGCAGCAATGCTTGCGTTTGCTCCGATATCGCCGGCAATGCGATGCTGGATGTGCCGCCCGAGTATCTCGATTTGATTGCACTTCATTTGCCCATTATTTTACGCCTGTCAATCAGTTGTCCGTTCATCAATGTGAGGGATAAATGTCAACATATCTTGGATATTGTACAGGTAAATATGTTTTTTATGTTTAAGTTGAATTAGTTTCATGATTGGCTATAGCCAAGTTGAAAAATAGCGCAAGTAATTTTGCCAGTCATGGTCATTCTCGAGCAACAAACTTTAAATTATAGTGGGTGTTGCATACACGACATAGAAATTTATAATTTATATTATTATGTTGGGTTAAAATTATGTGTAACACTCTGTATATTTAAAATTGCAAAACTAGTCGTATATAATAAGTAGGCGTTGAATATTACAACCGTCACTTAATTTTTTAAAGAGTGCCTCTTTCGCTGTGCTTTAGTCTTGTTTTTTTTTTGTTGGAAATTGTTAATTATACCATTGCAATCAATCAACCTGACATTTCTGATATACATAACTAAATTGCGAACTGTTATTCTTCATTTGCTAGATTTATGACCGGATCTAGATCAAATTTGTAACAAATTATAATAATTAATATTCTCAAGCGTTAAATAATTTAATTTTTAATTTATTTTAGAGCCGAGGATTGCCTATTCCGTATCCTGTAATATATGGACCATGTGCTTTCGTGGACCCAGATGAGGTGAGTTATTTATAAATCGCAACATTCTGCTTATTTAATAATATTTTCAGTTTTATAGTTTGCCTTTGCGCGTCTTGCTGAAAAGTGTGTGTGGGTTGTTTGCGCGATCAAAAATTCCTTTGAAACTTGTTTTCTATCCTTGGCATTGTATACTTTGTATATTTATTCCAAGGAAATGCGCGTGTAAAGTGACATGGCCCATTCCACTGAAAGCAAGGCGTTTATTTTTTTTATAAATATTTGGCACGATGTCTCTTTTTTTCATGCGGTTTAAAGAACAATCGGTTCTTGATGGTGAATATAAGAGATATCAATATCACAATTAAATTGTTTTTGAATTTAAATAGCATTTCTATTCATCATTGTTTGTGGTTTTTTTTCTTTAATATGTAGGAAGCGTTTCGAATAGAAACATTATCGTATCGAAATAGAAGTCGAGATATATAATAATAGCCTTGACATTGGCGTGTACTTTTGTACACAGTTTAATTCGACCACATAAATTATCCGTTTGGATATGTATGCGCTATGTAATTTGCGCACGATGCGTTGTTTATGCAAACCGCAAATTTTCTAATGATGTTCACCGCCAGATGTAGCACTACACTCCTCGCATCTCTGGGCATTTACGAATATAGACTATAATTGGCCGTCAGCGGACGGACACCTTGACCTCATCTTGCGTTTTGTTTAACGCTGTTCTGTCTGTGTGTGTGTGGGTATTGTATAGCTGCGCGCACGTCTTAAGTTGGGTTAGTATGTATTTTTGCAAACGACGACGCTCTTGGCAAACTTTTTGCAATCTAGCAGCGAGCATCAGCATTGTGACGGATGTTGTGCGCTGTTTCGCTAATGCTTTTTGAAATAAATTTTATTTGAGGATAATTTAATGAATTCGTTGAAATTTTATGGTGCGTTTATGGGCTAGAAGCAAATAATGATGCAAAAAATGTGTATCATCAGCAGAACCAACTAGATTTATCTTTTCCGGTGTATTGTTCTGTTTTATTTTCGTATTTTGTACATTTTGAGGGTAACTGTAAATCTTAAAAAATAATGGTTGTAAACCAGATATGATTTTTAGTTTGTGTTTACAATTTCTTTGATGTGTGTTTTTTTTTGCACTGGCAGAAACAAGGAAAAGTACATTTAGCCTCAGCAATTATAAACGGCTCATTGATCTTGCAGTTTATGAGTTTATTGATTTCAGTTTTCGACGTCGCTGCACGCTCGACCGTAAAACGCGCAGCATGCATTGCATTAGAAGAGAACACCGTTACCGACCATTTCTGGGTTGTGCTCTTGTTTTTAGCTTACATTTCTTTTCATTTTTTTTTGTATCGCTTGTTTTTATTGCATTTATAAGGTGCACATTATGTGTGGATGTTTATTGAAAAGTGCGGTGCGACGAATCTAATTGGCTTGGTTAATTTGAAATGATATTCTTGCGATGATATTATTGGCGATTCGAAAGTTGGTAATTGCGGCGCTGCAATTGCCTGCCAAGTCGATAGAAATCGCGCACGCCATCATCATCTTCACAGTTTGCGGCAGTAGGCAGGCAGGCAGTGTTCGTTCTCGTTGCCATTGGCATACATCTATGAATAAAGGAGACCGACAATAAAATCGCCTCGAGTCTGATGCGAACTCACGAATCAAGTCCGCGTGTACCTATCCCAGGTGAGCTTGCGCTGCGCGCAGTCGATGGCAGTGCAGAAAAAAGTTTGTATTGCAGTTGTGGCTGCATTAAGTCGATAAAGTTTGCAGTTAGAGAAGCTTTAGTTTGATTCGCTTAGGCAGAGCCGTTACGGGCGAGTTTGTGATTTTACGGCGAACGTTAGTGAAGCGGTTGACGTGTTACTTGTCGCCAATTTAGATACGTGGAATTGAATGGTACTTGCGCGTGATAAAACAAATAACTGTACATTACTTTATCGCGCTGTTACATTTTAAATTGGAACGGCAATTGTGGATTTCAAGAATTTTTATTTATCTGGTTTTAAAAAGTTAAAAATTAAAGTATTATCAAATAGAACAAACGGCCATGAATCTGTGATTAAAAGAAACCATCAAAGATCAACGCTACACGCCAACAATCGCCTTTCGCACATTATGTTTGCAAGCGTTCGCAAATGCAAATACGAGTATAACGCGTGTTGTATTCGTTTATTTTCGCGTGCTCTTTTTTTTTTTCTTCTTCATGCTGTTTCTATTCGTATTCCACCTGCCACGGTCGTCGCGTATATCTAATTGCGAATGTTGCGCTAGAGCAACTACGGGCCTGCCTTTCGGCGACCAGCAGTCTGCCAGCGGGTAGTTGTAGCCAACGCGCTTATACGCAAATAACCACCACCCACACACTACCGGCTTGCGCTTTGAATACCTCGCTAAGACGGTTTTAATTCTTATGTAACCTACTTTCGGTGACGGCGCGAGCAAATAAACACGTGTGTAATTATTGTAATGGAAATGCTTTGGAATACATACATAATAAATTGTAGATTGGAGATTTCTTTTTTGACATCATAATAAAATTATTTATTTGAAGTAGTTATTCAGCTTGCTGTAATAAATGATGTGGATTTGAATAAAATACGAAAATAGCCTCGAAAATCAATCATTTATTTATTCATTGAGGTAATAAATATTATTGTTGGTTAATTCTAGTTAGTTTAGAGTATAAAATCATTTCACCACTATTATCAATCATAATATAAATAGAAAATGTGTTTAAAGCTAATACTTTAACCATTTAATGGAAGTTTTTCCACAATTTTCAATTGTGTTAACCTTGATTGTCCTTGGTGTGCGCGGCACACATTCAAAATTAGTAATCTATTTGCGCAAACCGCAAAACTCATCAACGCCCCTGGCCAGGACGCATGGTAAATGTTCATTTCCGGTGCTGCTTCCTTGTTGTTGCCTTTACCGCTTTCCATTCCACGATTTACATTTTCGTGATTTACTGCCGAGGATTATTTTTCGGATGTTTACCTTGTGCTGTTGTGCCGGTGCCCGTTTTTCCATTTACTGTCTACACACATAGCGTAATATTTCCGGTTCGGAAAATGTGCTCGAAGGAGGAAGGCGGCTGTACGCGCTCTTCTAGTTAATTTCTTTTTTTTGTTTAAGTCCCTGGTTATACCCTAGTGGTAGTCGAACAACCACCTATTGCATGCGCCGGTAATTATAGTATGCTACCAGCGGCGGTGGCGGTCGACGCGGGCGTTGTTGTCGTGCCGCCCCCAATTATGTACCACGGTAGTATTACGCTGATGGCGATGCAGAACAAACACGTCATACACATGATGAAACTTCCAGGCGCGTTCATGTCGTCTGGCCATTCGATCTCTTGCAGTTCGTGTTCACCGCGCAGGAATTCTCTGATATCGGGCTCGCATCGGAAACTCACTCTGGAATAATAGGAATAAAAATAATAATAAGAGGTATTTTATAAGTGCCTAGAGTGAAATTGAAGCAGCTGTCTTGTTTGGGTCAATTATAGTTTGGATTTTGATATAGGGGGCAATTTTATGCAATAGTTGCTAAAATTTTATCTTATCAGAATGTTCAGGTCACTAAGGCGTATAAAACATACATTCCTGGACGATTAATCATAGAAGCGAGTTTTTTTATATTTTAATCTTATAATTTGGACTATAAATTGCGATAATTTTAATTGGAACAAGTAAAATTAAAAGTATTATGAAGTTTGGAACATGATTCAAAAGTCTACAATGTTCAATTGTCCTTTTTATGTAGACAAAGTAAAACAATGAAGAAACGCGATGCAAAAATACATTGAGTGGTTTTATCGGTATTGTAGTTGACGATCTAATAAATAGGTGGCTCCACGTACACGATTTAAGCTTGAAATGAGGAATATTATGAAAGTAGTTCGCGAGGAATAAATAAATGTTTAAAATATGAATAATTATAAGTATAATTTAAAGTTTAAAATATTTTAAAAGTTTTTTTTCTTCAATAATTTCATATGATTTCTTAATTATTTCTAAATTATTATATCAAAACATACCTGCATTTTTTCGATGTATCATCATTATCATTATCTTCACGACGCCAGAATCTTCCTGCTTCAGTATTAGCCAAAATCCACTGTGGTTCAGGAACGCCGAATTTTTCCATGATTTTCATTTTGTTTTATTTTCTATTCTTCTAATATTTTCTGCCTTTTGTTAATGTTGATTCGTTACGATTTGTACTAGAAATTAAAAATAACTATTAGGTAAATTATTACGTATTCGGTTGTAATGTAATTACAAAAAACGTTTCTCTTGTACAATATGTGAAACAATCCGTTGCGCGTTTGGACGGAAACTAAATTATATCAAAAAGTATTTAAGCGTGTTCGTTCGCTGGCCGTACTCCCGCAATTCTCATGTGAAGTGCGTGTTTGCTAAGTGTTTGTGTAGGTTATCTCTCGAGTCACTTTAGTTTTGCAATATAAGTGCCAACAATTTTTATATTTGGCGCGTGCCGCTCCTCTTTAAGTACCTACCTATCTATATCTATAGGAATTAAGGATATTACCTTGATTATTTTGCGAAAATGTTTCGGAAAAACTCGCAAACTTAACAATAACAAACTCTAGGACATTGCCTGCGTTGCGATTTAATTTATAGAATTTAGAAAAAAAAAACTGAATAACAGGAATGACGCAGTTATGGCCAAATAATTTATGTCACGGTCTGATCAAACGGTCAAAAACTTGGCAACTATTCATTTTTTTTCGTGTGTGGAACATTTCATGAATGACGAGTGTAATGTTTACATTTTTGCGATTGTCGTCGATGACCCGTGACCTTTTCAAGCTTATCAATGTATAATTAACTGGTTTGACCAAAGAAAAGCGTGATTTTCTATTGCGTCATTGCTACAAAGTTTATTTACCTAAAACTAATAAACGCGATTTGCGCTTTAACTTTTGCACATTGATTTTATCATAAAAAACAGCGTCACCTACAAGTTTTTCTTGTTTGAATTTGAATAGTACTTGATTGTTTCAAGTTCCATTGTGCGCGTGAACGAGTTTACATACAGTTTCGATGAGTAATCTTTGCAATTAAACGGCGAACAATAAACGAGCAAAGGTTAAATGTATTATTATACATGTTATGGATTTTTATTTTCAAGATTCTAATCGTGCAAGTACGGATTTTAATAATAATAACACAATTAAGTACTTCAATCGATGCCAGCCCCAGCGAGCGGGAAGTAATCACGGCTATTTGTTCCTATGCAAATTGTGCAATCAAAATAATTACATTTTGCAGGTTCAGAGACTAATAAATTGGCTGGCTATTAAGCTAGTTGCAGAGTGCAATTATAAAAATAATTTGCCATGCAGTTGAAAGTGATTTTTATCATTCAATCATTAATTTTATCGTGGAACTTTATACTTTGATACATTGTTTGATTGATATTAACGCATTAACAACATCAATATTGATTGAAATGTTGTTGAAAGTACGAATTTGAATGCATTGTAATTATTTTCGTATTTGTTTGATATGATTTTCTCGGTAATGTAAGCTATAATTGCGATGGAAACAAATATTGAGTACAAGAAATAGAAATTTAGAAAGTCTTCCAATGTTGTTTATAATCGCACATACACGTTATTATCGTGTATTACTTACGTTTCGTTATTTGTAACATTTGTTTTACGTAATAACGTGTGTGTTGAACTTTAATATTGAATTATTTAATATAACAAACAACGCAGGTTGATAATTAAATATAACTTGTTTAATTTTTAAATTTTCGCACATAAACTTGGAAGATTTTTAAATACTTACTGTATTTTAATGTTTTAATTACTCCATTCATTAAATGTTGATTCCAACACTTGGTAACAACAATTTGCGAATATTAGAATGTGTTAATGAAGATGTGCGATTGATATGCGGGTTTAAATCAACCGAAAACCGCGTTCTTTGACAGTTTGCGCACTTTGCACACACACACATTGATAGTCGGCGCAATGTCGAACGAACTATTTGGACCAATGGTCGAAGCGTGTCTATGTCGTGGCGGCGACTATCGTGCGCTCACATCGCTTGAAGTAAGCGTTAAAATGCGTAATAATGAACTGTACAATGGACGTATATGTAGAAGTTGTGCGCGGTTACTGTGCACAATTCCTTTGCTAGACGACGCTCACACTCACATTCATGCGCGCGTAGAGTCTCCGCACGACATTCATTTATATGGCTATCTAGGTTTCTAACTTTGGTTGACAGTGTAATGTACGTTGTTGTGCTAAACATGGATTTTGTTCCATGTAAGTACATTGGACATGCGCGCAATTGGATTCTCTGATATCGAATGAATGATTAGAACGGTAGGAAGCAATTGGAAAGTTTTTGTTGTTCGTGCAATTATATGCATATTAATTTTGCGAATGTCAATCGATGTTTGAATCGGAGTTGATTCACGTGTATTTGTAAATATTGCGATAAAATAAATTATTGAAAATTTTCTATGCGTCAAAAGGTTGAATAAATAATTAGTTTAATCTTATCGGAAATCAGCCTTCATGCTTATTCAAATTGGTATTCAAATTAGGTACTTTTGTGCGTGTGGCTCAAGTTTGAATAAAGTTTAAACGCGATGCATAAATACACCAAATTAAATTTTCACATGTTTTAGACATGCACAATATTGATTTATATATTTTTTAATACTTTAATAATTTCATTTTTATTTGAAATTAAATCAATTTGTAAAATTACATTATTCTTTTTATTATTTCATTATTATTTTATTATATATTATATTGTAAATTAATTTAAAGTGTTAATTTAGTATATTTATAAATTGCTAGATGTCGCTAGTAGTAGCGTTTTGCGGAGCATTCCAAATAAAATTGTTTGGCTGAGAAAAGCAATCATTCAGCCCAAACATCACTCATTTAATACTTGAAACAAACTGAACTTTACTTTGTGATAATATTTAATTCAGATATTATCTGAGGAATATGTTTAATTTTATTTATATTATGTGACGAATAAGTTTTATTCACATTAATATTTTGTTCTCATAATATCAAATATTGAAACATGTTACAAGTTGATAATACCATATTTATTTCGTTATCGTATGCTACTTATTACTTTAGTATGCATGATAAGTTGCCTAGCATAAAGTTCGTTCACGAATAAAAGCATATTGTTTAAAATACAAATTTGAAAAGTTTTGATATTTGTGAAATAATAGAAGAAGAAATACACGTAAAATCTACGATTGTTATTTCGAAATAATTGAGTAATAATATTAAACTAAGTTTTAGTTTTAATGTTGTTGCGTACCTAGATTAAATTGTTCATTGTTTCTAATAATTTATTTTGTTCCAGCTGCCTCCCCTGGGAACCTACAATGAAAAGGTATAGTCCATTTATTGCTTTAAAACCAGTTTCATACAATAATAAATTTTTGCATTTGCATTTGCACTGAATGCGGGCAATGTTCGCCGCAGAATTTGTTATCGCTGGTTAAGGAAATAAAAACTTTCCTACCGACTTTACTTTTAATTACTATTCAAGTGGTATTTGCGCTAATAATTTCAATTTAAATAATTATTATAATTTACTGCAGGCAATGAGTTATTATCTAAATGCATATCTAAATTGGTACGTGATTGCTGGCTAAATTTATTTGTTTATCTTAAAAACTATGTAAATTGAAACACAATTTAAGGCGTGCTTCCAATCACCGGTAGCTGAACGCAGTGTGTGTGTATCTATATTTCCATTCATTTTTAATGACATTGTTTTTAATGGCGATGGAATTATAAAAGCGCACTTTTTTGGTCCGGACCTGGTCGGCCTTGGTGCCACGTGTGCGCAAATATAAGCAAAAAAAAAACAAGTTTTTTTTAACACCATTCGTAATCTATCTTTGCGCTTGTTTATATTTACAATCCAAATAAAAACATAATTGCAAATGTGAATTTGAATACACTTGAAATAAATTTAATAGATCTTTTTTGAAACAATAAATAAATTATACTTTCAAATGCATTTGAATAAATGAGTCAAAAGCGAACAATTTATTCGCTTTGATGACGCTTTGCTCATTATTATAATTAGCGTTGATTAAAATGATGAAATTATTATAAAAACAGATGTAGAATTATGATTTATGATATAATTAATTCCGTGCACATGCAAAGCGATTGGATTTTGGATCGTCCGCAGACGTAATCCGCCACTACAACCGCCGCAGTCGATAATTTTATTACAATTTACGGATTCTCGAGCAGCGCGCTCGCTCGCCTAAGCTCCTCCTCACGCCGCCCGCCGTCCTTTCGATCACGGTTCATTCGCAATCGGTCGGTCCTGCGGTCAGTGTATGTGTGTGCGGCGTGTGCCCTGATCCTGATTAGGATGACGAGGCCGTCCCGTTGCACACGTCGAGTTTGCACACTTTGAAAATGGGATGATGCGCGCGCCAAGCTTATGCAATCTCTGCTGATCGTTTCACCACCGCCTCGTTCGTCATTCGCGCGACCCAAGTGTCTGCTTGCGGCTGATAACGACATCGAATCCATTGATGATGCACTGTGCATTCAATTCGTTTTCTTTTTGACTAGCAATTGACTTTTGTTACACGTGTTTTATTTGTCGGAGAAATGCTGTAATGATTTAATAAAATTGAAATTATTACGCGTACCGAATAGTTTGCGTTTGTGATGATGCATAGCATTAAAGGCAAGACTATATCTCGGTGATAAAGTGCATTGGCTTCGTCTGTTGTCCTAATTTGAAGGCGGTCGTACTGCTTGTTATGGGATTTGTGATATTTGTCGGCGTTTACGACGCAAAAGCCTGACAATTAGCATTATATCTGTACAGCGCATACATTTATTAATTATTTATTTGTTTATTAGGCTGTAATGTGTGCCGGAGGAATTTTTCGCGCAAAGGTTTGAAAACATGAGCTAACATTTGAACTTTTTTTTAATTAAATTGAATATTGCATCGACTACTGCGCACAATTATCTCATTTGAAATTAAAACGAATAAATTAATGGGTGTTTATTTACATTTGGATTATGGTATAATTACGATATGCGCTCAAGTCCGCGCCGCAAGTAACTAGTTTAATAAGTGTATATTCGTGGAGTACACTGAGTACATATTGTACATAATGGATTTGCCGACCTTGGTCATTAAATTAGTCTGATTAACGGAACAGTGTTAAAAGTGCTAAGTGAATACAATCGACGCTATGCGGCCGAGCGCATATTATGAGGCTCTTTATTTAAAAGAGAATAAACTGTTAGCATACCGATTTGGAGGATGTCACAACAATGAAGTATTATACTAGAGTGAATTTCGCAGGGCGCTGACTAATTTATTAATGTATTTTAAAATGCATTGCGAATAACGCGCGCAGAATTTGTTATTTTATTGTATTGTTTATAGCGGTCATCTTTAGGTGTGATAATTAATATTGTGTGCTGTAAAATTTGTGAATGCGACGATAACAAATAGCGCGCTGTCTGACGGTTTCTGATTTAAATTTTATTCTTGATGAATTAATTGCAATATAATTGCATTTCGCACATAGTTAGTGTGGGCATGAGTAATAAATTTTGTTTGATTATATTTGATTATATATTATTAGCGTGTAATTAGGTATGATTGCAATTAAAAAAATTGTATACGTTTGTTGTGGATATGCGAAATGCCAGGCTACACATCTACATGTTCTTAATTAGGTATATTCACTCGCAAACATAATTTGATTGCATGAAACTTCAAAACTAATAAAATAAGGGAATTTATTACACCAAAGAGAGCGTATAGTGTGGTTGATGGTGTGGGGGTTGACATCCCCTATGCGTCATGATGTCAATTAGAGTTTAAATTAAATTTTTAGTTTATAATTGCATTAATACACAATACGAGTATATACAGCTTTAGCTTCTATTTATTACTTTGAAGTTTATTCTTTCCATAAACATGCGGATTACGTATTAAATGCGGATAATAATAAATAAAAATAACTATTATTTCTTAAATAAAGAAGATAAATATTATTTTTCACCTTGTGCAGAACAGTTTTTGATTTATGGAATTTAACACCAAGCGCAACTGAAAAATAACGGTATAAAGACGTTTTAAAGTTTTGTCGGTGCACGAACACCGTTTATTCAGTTGAAAATATGAAATACTTATATATAAATAATGTATAAATAAGATATAAATTGTAAACGAAGCTGTCATCCTTGAGATTGAATTGCATTCGACGCAGCTTTAGTAACGCACACAAGTATTTATATTTGATGTTTTTTCAGCGGCGCGTACATTGGCAATGTATAATATTAAATTATGCATGCTAATAAATATGATGGAGTAATATAATTTAATTACATAATTTATTACTCAATGTAGTATAATGTGTTTTGCCTTGCTGGCAAATGTATAAAACGCCTATAGAAATATTTGTGGAAATGTGATATTTATATTTATTTACGGCACAAAGAAGATAAGTTATAGGTTTATTACTTATAGGCATCCTAGTAGAATTTAAGTGGCATTTATTGTTTTATTTGATATTTCTGGAGTTTTGTTGTTGTATTGTAAATACTTGCAGCTGAAATTTCATTGATAGGAAAATGGCTGATGCAGTATTACATCTTGCGTGTGTTATTTGACATTATCGACAGTTCTAAGTTCATTGCCAATAGTAATCATAATAACTTCAATTGCAGTCATGCTTCCTTTTTTGATAAGCATAACGGATGATAAGTGTGTATAATTATACAATTTTATTTCTCAACTAGATGTATTTATTTTTATTGGCATATATTGAAGAGTTTCATCATCTTTTTGACGCTTCTCAAGATTTTTTTGTCGCTAATTTTATTACATTAATAAAAATACTTTCAAATGCTAGAATTTGAAGTGTTAAATATGGGCCATAGGTAATTTAATTCTGTTTGATTAAGTTCAATTGATTCTGATAAAATACTCATTGTACACAAAATGTAATAACAATACAAAGTTCAAATGCTATGTAACCTCGTTACCCGCATATTTAACGTTTGGATATTTTGTCGTACTTAAATTATACCTGCTAAGATTTTTTTTCTAATTCACTCGCAGAATGCCTGTATCAATTCATCTTCGTTTCGCGAATGTTTGCGCTTTATAACTGCACACGTGTTTGTTCATTTTTGAAGAGAAAGTGAACTTCAACTTGCAATTTCTAAGGTGCGCCTGCTTAAGTGCATTCGTGGTGCGCGCACATCTTTAACCTCTGTTCAACATCACGTCGCTTGGTTTGCGCAACTTTTTTTCGCTCATTGCAAATGGCGCGTTTCATCCGAGCGTGTTGAAACTGCAGCTAAAACATTGGTGCTAATGCATTCCTTAAAACTACATCCGTAAATAGTGCGCAATTATTCTGCATTGCGGCCGCGATTCAGTGCGAAATAATCGATTAAGGTCATCGATAAATTTCAGAAACTTTCCTCGGTGCTAGAGAATGCAGTAGTTTAATGATATACAAATCTAAGAACAAAGAAAGAAGAAATTTACAAACATCTGGTGAAAATTGAAAGAGAAATGTAAATGAAATTGTAGTTCCATAGCACAACGTTAATATAAATGTAATATATTCAAGTATTATTTGTTTAGTCAGAAAATTTATCTTTTTATATTTAACTCGCGCATAAATTAATCCAACTTTTTTAAGTTTCAGTAGCAATAACTAGCTCTCTTGCGGGACAAGTTGACATACGACTCTTATTATTTTTTATCGCATGTCCCTGCTCTGTGCAACGGGACGCCGCGTTAAGTTTAAAACAAACCGAGCATCACATCTGCTACTCTTGCGCGACGAACGACTAACGAATTCTTCATCATTCAAGCACGCTTAAGCAAACGACGACAATCTTAAATCTATCACATGAAAGAGCTCGAATAAATTCGAAATTTCGTAAATTAATTTACAAGTATGCGGTAAAAATAATCAGCGCACCACGCTTTAAATTTCCGAACGCAATATACAAGACTTTAATTATTCATAATGTAAACGAAAATGAAATTTTGATGACCACGTTTTGTTTACGACCTCTTTGGAAACCACAAACTTTACAGTAATGTATTACTAACGGATTTATTTAATTGTTTTTAGTGTGCGTTAATTTTTAAATAGGTTTAAGCGGGAAATTTACGTTGGTACGGCTCTGATTGAGGAAAGCAATTGTCGAGGTCTTTTTCGAAAATTTAGGTCACTAGTTTATATTCTTGTCGAGAACAATAATTGATGGTTGAGTATACTTACCGGACGAAAATATACTTGAGCAGATCGTTTCAATTTATGTTTGATATTTTTAATTTAAAATTACGTTTCAGGAATGTTAACGTTTGTTGACTGATTTATTAACTGTGTTCTGCTAATTTTGGAAGAAAGGCTGTATTTGCAATCACACATTCCCGCGACAAGAATAATTTAATTTACGAGCGGACGTTTTGTTTGTAAATTGTAAATTGTGGTTGATTTAAAATTCACTTTGCTTGACATTGTACTTTTACGCACTAGAACTACTATGAATTTTGTAGACGTATATTTTATGCAATCACATAGAATATTCTTGGAGAGGCAAGTCTAAAATACGAATTTAGGAGCAGATTATAACATGTTACGTCAAGCGGTATTAATGGCGCATACACTCGGCTCGATGCCGCTACTATATTGTCGGTAACGAGCTTGTGCACTTTGTGAACGATTGAACGGGTTCACTGACTCGGCGTGCGCACATCCAACGTTGCAATACACAAGTGCACATAATTTTACACTTGATTACATACACTGACTGCTGGAAGAAACCTTTCATATCGGTCGTGTATACGTTTTGCACACCGCAGAGAAAAAAAATTGCATCATTAAAAACTAAAAATCGTAATCGTTTAACAATATACAATTTTCATTCAAATTGGATGCATTTTATTCATTGTGTGGTAAGTAATTGGCAATTAATTACAGTCTGAAACTGCTAAACATTGCAATATTTCAATTTTTGACGATTTATATCAATTGCGAATTGCTAAAAGAGATACCAACCGGAAAATTGTAGATTATGGAAGATTGGAAAATGCTCTATCATATGGAAAACAACAACATTATTTTAATGGGGTAAAAGCTCTAAAAACTGAAAACTAATTGCGAACATGCGCGCGCAACGACGTCCGAAGTTAGTCTGATGGTAATTATATGTTTACAACGCAACACAATTTTCATATTGATGCCGCAAATCGCACACCTAGATGGCAGATTGGTGTAACTATTATTGCTTGTATGTATGTACATACATATAGTCTAATTGCAGGTTTCGGCCGGTTCGCCAGCGGGCTTTCTCGCGCGCTGGCGCGCTGCCAAAATGCGCATACTACCGGCATGTAATTGGCATGTAATGCAAACATAAATAATAAGATAGAATTTGTTGCTATCGAAATTTCCACATCGAGTCAACGCTCCCCTCAAGTTGGCTTGTTTTTAATCCCATTATCGGGAGAATTTTCAATCTGTCAGTTATCATTTGACGGAAACAAAACAAAAAATAATTCGTTTGTGAAATTGTGAAATAATTCGATTGCAGCACAAAAATGTATAAATTTTACTATCAGACTCATCCAGCGATGGTATTCTTGTTATATTTTGCCATTTATTTATTCCTTTTGCTTGTAATCGGTGAGATAATCACCCAAATGGCGAAGACAACCAGTTATAAAGCAATTGCACAAATATTAGTGACCATATTGACGGTGATAATGCTCGTCACTGGATCGGATATAACAATTTTCTTTGAAATAAATCCCATGCATCTAATCACGATATTCTACCCGCCGATTGTGTTGAAGATTGTCTACGAACTGGATCTGAGCATCTTTCGTGAGCACTTATCATTTTCGGTTGCGTATGCAATCTTAATGTCGGCTGCGTTTAGTACATGCCTTGGATTCGCCATGTTGCTCTTGACTGGTGCAAAGTGGTCATTGATGCTTGTGCCTATCTATGGTTTTGCTCTGGGTTCCATTGACTATCTGGATTCGACGGTAAGCGTTTTGAATTTGACCAGTTATAAAAGTCTCCTCTTGGTGCTCATACAAGTTGAGAGCGTGATTGGCGCGGAAGTATGCTATACAAGTATGCAGATTTCGGTGGCTATCATGAGTGGATCCCTTTCGTCGTGGTATCAAGTAGTCACATTCTATTTACGGAAATACATCGGCGGGATGGTGCTGGGTTTCATTGCGGGGAGGATATTGCAGTGTGTGATTGAACTTTTCTTGGACAACGTACACAATATGGCTTTGTTTATCATCTTGACTCCGATAAGTGTTTTCTTCATTGGCGAGCATGTGTTCTATGTGTCTAGCGGTGTTGCTGTGCTGATCTATGCGTATTATTTCGCTATGTACAAGACACGCATTCCGATCAAGGTAAGCAGGAATCTGGATAGGATAAACTCAAGTATTTCGAGGATTGCACAGTCGTTGTTGATATATTTCGCTGCGGTGCCCCTGGTGGTGCGTACAATACAACATTTTGACATTGGTATGCTTATGGAATACCTGGGCCTTTTTATTATGGTGGTATGTCTACGTTTCATACTTTTGCTCTGCTTTATTCCGGCGTTTAACTTCACCAAACGCACGCACATTGTGTCGAATGTTATATTTATGATTTTGTTTGCGAAACGGGGACCTGTACAAATGGTGTACTTTCTCATGATACTCAGCGATAGTAATGCCTACCGAATGGGATGCTTCTGTGCCCCGCATACGTATTTTTTGATAACCATATCGCTGTTGATAAATCCTGAGATGCTGGCATTGATGGCACTGATTTTTGGAGTCAATAAAAAGGAACTGGATAATTATAATATCGCGACGTGCTTGAAAAAATTCGAAGAAGTTGAGTCTAATTTTGTATCAATGCTGCGGATGAATACTGGCTATGCGGACGTCAATTGGAAGTTTGTGCTGCGCACAATGAAGCTGTCTTTGCTTGTTAACGATGGCATCAAAAATCAACCGGAACCCTATGAATCAAGACAATCCTATTGCAAAACATGCAAGAAAGTTGTGATTTTTGAGCCTACGCGCAAGAAATATAATCTGTTGATGATGTAAATAATTTAGGAAGGTGTTTGGGTGTGAAATTTTATCTTGACCACGTTATATTTTGCAGTGAAGCCAAGAAGACCATTAACTTGGCGCATAAAAGGTCGTTTGTAACACAATATGAAACGGGACGGTTTCAGAAACATGTTATTACTATTTTGCTCAATTTTGTGGAGTATTCTATGGCATCACCAGATTTATCATTGGACCCCATGTTGTTTAAACATTTTATTCACAAAGAGGTAAAATCGATAATCAATTGACATTTTACCATAAATTTATTATGATTTTTGTTTATAGACTATGATTTTTAAAATTAAGTCTTGCATGAATAAAATTGACCTAGATACGACTTTGCATAGACCGCGGAAACAATGGCGAAATTTTTTCTTCAAGATTGTCGTACATTTTGTGTACGAATGGGTGCTGATGATTGTACTCTTGTGTAGTATTACATTGATGATTATGGATATATTCAAGGAAGGAAAAAATGAGATGATTTTTATATTGAAGTGTGTCGTGGCGTTCATCTTCTTTTCTGATTTTGTTTTGAAGATTATTTCATATTCACATATTCTTTTCGTTCAAGCGTTTCAACGATACTTCAAGTACGTACCTACTTAGATTATTAATTTATTATTTAATTTATTTTTTATGTATCATAGAAACGTTTGGGATCAATTTGATTTTTTGGTGATGATTATCCTCTGCTTGGACATTGTTCTTGTGCACTATATTTCCAATTTAGAAAAATCCCTCCCTCAGAAGATGTTATTCTATACGGTAAAGTCTGTGGTGGCTATACAGGTGTTTAAAATCGCCAAAGTTATGTTTATACTGAAGCGTTTCGAAAATGTTATTATGAAATTTCTTGACAAGTGGATTGGACTACGGATTATGCTTGCTGTGGATATTGGAGAAGTAAAAAGTTAATTTGTTGTCACTTTTTATTTATATTTTATTTTTGTTTATATTTAAGGCAATGATTAGAAGTTATGACGAAGTAATTCATGCTATGCCAAAATTAGTAGAAAATGAAAGTATTTGCGCGGAACTAACACAAAAAGCTAAAAATGATAGAATTATTATCAAATCACAGTTAATTAATCGCACCGCCGAAAGGGATTGGGTTATGGTGACGTGTAAGACGCGTTTGGTGATTCGCAATTGCTTCTTTGCAATGAAACGTAAAATATTTGAAATGTGGACTCAAGGTAAAATTTATACCCGAATCAATATCAAATTAATTCTACACAATTTAGGTTACATTGACGATTTTGAACATGCGAAATTAAAACAATCGCAAGAAATAGGTCTGCAAAATTTTCTCAAGCTGAAAACAATCCAAAAACAAACTGATGAAGAAGCTGTTTTCAATTTAGGATTCATGCTAAACGATAGCATAAGATATTTTTGTTATGTTAACTCGTTTAAAATCAAGTTTGAAAAAAATGATGTAATCATGCGTGTAGGCAACACCATCGATAGTTTGATGATTATGACGAGCGGTCTGGTGAGAGTCGTGTATGAACCAACTGATGTTGAGTTATACGCTCATTGTGGCGCACTTCCGGGTATTGACGATATTGGTGAAGATACCTTATTTCAGCCAAAGAGTTATTTCATGATGTGTGGCAGTCAATTTGGCGATATGGGTGTTTTAACGCAAAGACCTTATCACTGTCACGTTGTTGCTTTGGAGACTAGTGAATTTATTATTATTCCAATAGAAATAATACGTAAAGCAGCTAGAAGATTGACTGATGATTCAGCTGGGTACAGATTTAAAGCTAAAATCGTCAAGTCTTAGTTCTTTTTTTTTATTATTAATCAATTTTAGTGTGCATTCCTTAATGTGGACACATTTTACTCTGAAACTTATCAATGGGATATTATGGAAAACTAAACCGTTTTTGAGCTGGACAGAGGAGGAAATAATGGGGCACACTGTAAAGGGCTTTTTCCCCGATCTTACAGATTGCAGTTCGTTTGAACGTCCTCGTTCAGTCGAAGATATAATTATCGTCGAAGGAATCGCTCAAGATGCGATTTCTTCAGTGAAATTTATCGCACCGTGTCATTTACCGCGTCATGTTCAGTTTATAAATTTGATTCGGAAAGACAAGTATATGGTGAATCCGCAACTATTTTTCATTCCATTAGATGCTTCACTTTATGATTCGATAATGACGACTTTTAAATCCACGTTTAAAAAAAGGGTAACCTATTTGTTCCGAACGCAAATCATTATTATTTATGCTGGCGGCAAAATAATGGATTATTTTTAGGATGATTATGATAAGGAATGGACGCATGGTCTTGGTCACCATGCAGGTGTTACCGTTCGTGAGGCGAAAGGTGGTGGTATTATGCTATCTTCGGGAACACTTCCAAAGTATGGTGATGACTGGATGAGATTGTTTTATAATACGGCTACTACCAAAGTGGATTATGCTTGCCGCGTACAATCTCAATCTAGTATAAGAGCTTTCCCGCTACTTTCAGCGCCTGGAAACAAAGGTCTTGAATATATTTGGGAGGTTAAATCATTTGAAAAAGATTCGGATCCAGATAAATCTGATAGTCCTGTTGTGAAAAGACGCCGGTTTTCTTAAACGGATATTACGTATCTATTATTTTGTTCTCAATGTTTAATTATTAAGTAAATAAAAATATTTTTCGTTATTATGTCATAATGAAAAAATATTTACACAGCGACAGATCGGATGCGCTAATTCGGACGCGGAATTAACGCACGAATGGAAAATTAATGCCAAACAAAACACTGCCGCCCATCTAAAGTATGTGTAAACGCACGAGCCGCAAATCAAATTGTGTAAACAAAGGTTGCGTCAAGGAAATTGAGCCGTAAATTATCATCGATCGCTTGCGCTTCCGCGCGCAGCACTTGTTTGCCGGCGGATTCGTCTTTTTTCTGCGTGGAATCGTTTGATTGTGGAAAAATTTGCACTTTGGTTGACGTCAGTCAATCAATGCAAATTAATTGACATGAAAAGAATAAAATGCATGCATAATGAGGCAAAACAAAGCGCATTAATCGTCGAAATGTTATCTAAATTACATTTTATTGTTTTAATTAGAATTTACAACTCCCAATAGTAAGAATTCAATGTCAAATTCCCAATTTGAAAACCAGATGTGCGTTTGCCATAATAATTTATCTTGTTTTTTTTTCTTTACTTGTTTGTTTGTTTATGTGGCGAGTATATATCAATAATGAATGTTAAATCGGTCCATTTCAATGTTAAATAAATTATAATATTGGATTGTTTTGCAATTTGTTGTATTTTTTGTTTAAAATTTGAGTTTGCGTTTGTGACCGAATTCATTTCGATTTGGACACGGGGAAAACCGGCTGGTTGCCGCAATGGCGTTATAAATAGAGCAAACTCGCATAGAATTCAGTTGCGTTCGCTACACACGCTTTTGCTCCTTTGGCATGTTGAGCTGTTTTGGCACCCGGTGAGCAGGTGTAAATAAAATATTCGGGTTACGAACGAGTGTGATTTTCCTGATTGGATTCTCGCTGCCTCACGCCTATGACACAAGCACCACCGCCGCCTCCTTCTAACAACGCACTGAAAAATGTGCGCGCCTCAACGAAGCGTGCTCAATGTAAACATCATAGTTTGCCAGTAGAGGTTGATTCCTGCTTTTTTTTAACTGCTGCAGGAACTGCGGCACTAGGAGAAAAGCGAGTGCATGTTTTAATTTTAGTGGCGCTTCTGACGTAATAGAACAGATGGTAATTTTTACGATGGAGTATCTTCAACAATATATCACAGTTCATTCGTTATTAAACGCCGAGTTTTATTGCGTGTTTGCAATTAAACACATCCTTGGTATGATTTGTATGCGTGATAAAAATGGTTATTATTTGCATTTTCTTTAGGAGTTATGAAATATTATTTTTACGATGGTTTAGTTGTATGCTGGCAAAAATACACTAAATTTTAATTACCTGAACGTCACAAGAGTGAATTCAATGGGTTTAGAAACACAAATATTTTAAACGTAGTGGTGCTAAATTTAGGTGAAAGTTTTATTGGGTCAACGCCACAATTCCTTGGTTTTTGTTTGTTTCTTTTACTACGTTTTTGTTTTGTGAGTATTTTGGTGGAAATTTGAATAAAACAACAATGTTAGAAGTTGTAGTACGCAATTTGACGTGTTTATGAGTATAGATGGTGACACTGTGAGGTTTATCCTGAATTTGAAGAATTTAGGTCAAGCGGTTGATTTTCCCGGATTAGGTAACGGGCATTAGGGTGGTTTTTATGCACGTGACGCAAAATGGTACCAGATTTTTAGAAGATTTACTATTTTTAAATTAAAAATATAAATTAAATGTTATTAGTGATAGAAAAATAAACTAAAATTAGATGTAAGTATTTTTATAAAATCAGTGATGAATAAAAATAGTATTAAAACGTAGGTTTTATACAAGAAACTGCAAAATAATCCAATTTATATTGTAACCAATGATACCAAATGCTTAGCTTTAAATTAAATTAATTCTCTTATATAATCCACATAAAATCGAAAGATATAGATAACAATTTTCCGTTGGTTATTTTCGCCACGGTAATTAAATAACATTCAATTCTGTTCTTTATCAATTTTTGCAATCACCCTATGGATGTGCGCTGCTTGTTTTCGCCAGTACGTGTGCGTCGTGGCCTTTTCGTCGACAATTTACGACTTGCATATAAAATGTCTACTTCCACTTCACTTCAAGGATGCCTGCCTACCCATTATGCTGCTGCTCGCACTACAAAACACGAAATCTACTCTCTCGAATGTTTTCGGATGATTCGCACTGCTTAGCTAAATGCTTAAGCCTTAGCGAATAAACATGCCTAGAACAAACGTAAACAAATCTTTATAATGTATTCATATCTGTATTTTATAAACACCGAGATTTATTACTCTAAGAACAAATTAAAGGAGGCATTTCAAACATGCGCTGCTACACATTAAAGGTTAACATTATTAGTTTTGATTGTTGTTGTTCGTTTTTATTGCAGTGTGAAAAGAATTAAATTGCTCGTTGTTTATGAGCTTCAATAGGAAGTCGGGCAAAATTAAAGAAAAAGTTTTAATTACTTTTTTTTATCACTCCGATGCGAACACGGCAACGCAAAAAAATAAAACAGCTGCGAGAGAGTTCAGTGTAAATGATTCAGAAATACATTAAATTTGTAAACAAATAATCAAAATTGTGTTTAAATTTGCATAATGCCTGTAGCAACAGGATACACAACATGACTACATGCATGTATCATGATCTAATCACGCTATAAACTTATTTATTTTACGTTTTGCGAATGTTTCCGCATTTTTTTGCAATAAATATTTGCGAAATACTCGAAATTATTTTCGTATGTATTTTGTTTTGGTGTGGTGTATTTTTTCGGCCCTCTACATGTCAACGATTGGATTTTCATTGATTTTATTTATACCGTTTGCTGTAATTGCTGTTGAAACATGATGGCACTAATCGTAATTGTGTGCTTATGATAATGTTCGACAAATGCATAAATCAACAACGTTATTTGGAGCACGCTGACGAGTTTATAGGTTTTGTGACAGTCTTAAAGTGACAGTTCTGCTAGCAGCAGTGCGATTTTCCGAAAATTGAAATAAAGTAGTGATAGATTTAGTTTTGACCAAAAATCTCGCGTGGAAATGACCGACTGCATCAGAATGTTTCAGTTGGACTCCTTGTTGGAGCTTATCAGGATTCGGTTAGGACGTCCAAAAATGCAGGTACACAATAAAACAAAAAAAAAATGGTGAAAATAGTTTTAATAAATATTCATTATAATAATTTATTAGTAAAATTTAACAAAAATTCTTCTTCGGTCTTATGTATTTGTTGTTGGTTCTTTCATCATCTTTATACTAATACCAATAGTCTTTGTGATAAATGAAATTCCGGTTCGAACAAGTGTAATTGTAAATAGTACAATTGTTATCACTTACGCAAGTTCATAATTCTTAATTGTCGATAGCAGCTTTTCTATTGTAGTAATTAATATGATATTCATTCTATATAAAACAATAAAACCCGCAATGCCTAATTGGATGCTCAATAAAATTGTGTCAATATTAACTACGCATCAGGCACATTCAAATTTCATTATTCACGTTGTAAATATTGTTTTTGTTTCAAAAATATATCATATTTTAATCTGATTAAAGACACAAAGTAAATTGATGCATCTTTAAATCAACAATTAATCAGCAGACAGTATTTTATTAATAGACAAATTATTAATTATGTATTTATGTTATCGTTATGTGTACCACTCAGATTTCAGACATCCCAAGTTGATTTTATCAAGGCAAACATTTGCATTATTCACATGAATGAGCCGATAAGGTGAAAAGAATATCGTGAGCCATAAACCCGGCAGTGGCGATGGCGATAAGCGCGACGAGTGCAGTGCTCTCTTAGTAACAACCGCACACACCTATCCATTTTAATGTTGGGCTCTCTAACTCTCTAACTCCACTATTGTTATCATTAATATATTCCATTCTATAACGTGCACGATTTGTCTCACAGCACACTCTCACAATATACCCGCCCGTCTATGAAGTGCTATTTACCTTTATTAATGGCTCACATTGCCTGCTAATTAATCAAATACGAATCTGATTATTACTTTGTTTAATTGGCACATCACACACACACACACACACACACACACTCGTATTTTCATGACTAATATTTGCCTCGTTTTTGTTGCAGGTACGCATTTTCCATTGTTTTGTTGCTCCATATTCGTGTCGTGGTAAGAATTTTGATATTATCGCACATTTTTTCAAGCAGTACATTTGTGTAATGATATGGTTAACTTTGTTTACACATGATAAGACTTATTTGGGTATACTGAGATGATGGTTGTGTGCGCTTGTGTTGCTTCCTTGCTGATTCAACTTTACGATTCGAACAATATGTACTTACAAACGATTTAAGATATTACAATCTTGTGGGCAAATATTTTTGATGTTCATTCGCAACATGTCGTTATCGAAAAATAGAAGATGACAAACAAACAGCTGTGTTTGATGGAATTTGGCCGTTTTTATCCGAAACTATACACATTATGATGTTTAACTTGTAGAACCTGTTTTCCTAAGCGGCGTATTAAATATTTTATTTGTTTACTTCAAGTTTCTTCAAGTAGCTGGCTTTATTTTTGGCAGCGTAGTAAAGTGCGCTATTATGAAACGTATGCCTTGAGTATATGTGGCTAATTTAGCCTGCGAACGCAAAACATGTTTGTGCATTACTTTATTTTGCACAATACTAATCATACGAATTGAGGAGAGAGTGGAAAAAATCAACTCTCGATGAGCATCACGTATCGAATTTAATATCACAATGTATTTACTACTTATGAGCTGGCCTGGCCACACTTTGTTTGTATTTTATTTTTAATACGCGATAAGAACTCATCAATGTTTGGTTTCGTTACGTCCTTGTGCGGCGGATGATGCCGTTGACGTATTTTGTTGCAAATTTGCGCCGGGTTGCAGTTATTTAATCAAGTCATGCCACAATGTGCTATTTATTGTTTATTAATTAATATCAGCCAAGTGATTCAAAACAAATCTATAATATTTTTCAATATTGCGTAAATTTGAAGTATTTTTAGTCATTTTGCGTGTGTGAAAGTATTTTTTACACGTTTAGCATTACGTCTATGTTTGACATTTACCTAACCTCTAAACTCACTTACGACAATATGTCTACCGAATTCCGGAGTGAGTATGGAGTTGGTTTTATCATTTCTGGCACATGTTTGCATCGTTTGACGGTTTGCATGTTTGTGCATGCGATCGAATTGTCACACCACATGCCAGCTTACGAAAATATGAATACACGCCCGTCATCTTCGATATCTTATTTATTTGTGCAAGTTTCGTCTTGCTTATGAAAGCGATACTTCTCGCCGCGATGATATGTGACACTTATCGCATCTGTT